TTAGTATTTCAGAACATTGGAGATGTGGTCAGGAAAGAATTAATTGAAGTTTATTAGTGTATTTGTTCCTATTGCTGCCATAACAAGTTGCCACAGGTTTAGTGACTGTAAGGAATACAGATTTATTATTTCAGTCTTGCAGTTCACAAGTCTGGCATCTGTCTCACTACAATCAAGGTGTCAGGACAGTGTTCTTCTTGAGCTCTAGAAGGGAATCCATTTCCTTCTTTTGTACCTTCTAGATGAGACCTGCAGTGTTTGACACTGTGGTATTCTTCCTCCATCTTCAAAGCCTGCAGCATAGATAGCATTTCTCTGATCCTGCTTCTCTTGTCACTTTGCTTTTTCTGATTTTCTGACACTCTTCTGCCTTTACCTTGCATTTTAAAGGACCCATATGAGTACATTGGACCCACCTGGATAATTCAGAGTAATCTCCCATCTCCAGGTCCTAATTTAATCATACGCACCAAGTACCTTTTGCTATATAAAGAAACATACTCACAGGTTCCAGGAACTAGGGCTGGTATTGTTAGACATCATCATTCTTCCTGCCACAAGTAGGTTCAGGCATAGCTCAATTAATTTCTAAAAAATGTACAGAAACTTCACTAGTGGGTCTCTTCTTTTAAATAAATCTGAGCATGGTAACTTTTGATTCAGCAGGTCTATTTGGGTTAGAGAAATTTGCTAACATGAAGAAGGGAATTTTAGTGACAAAGGAGAAAGAAACTAAGGCTAGGAACAGATTTGACATCACTAACAAAGTATAGACTAATGTTGATGTGAGAGTATGCCCAAACAGGATTTTAGAATGAGTTAGTAGTGTAAGATATCTCTTGTTATAATTAATGGTTTTTGTTAAGTGTCTCTGATAACATGGTGGGGGCTGTACTCATCCTAGACAAATCCCTCCCATTCAGCTCATGAGAAAACATACCCATCTTCTACACTTAGTACTGACTAGACCTTTATAGAAATACTAGATCTTGTTTTAGTCTTTAACTTTTGAAGAATTCAGAAATCTTGAGGAAATTGTAAAGGATAATAGCTAGTATTTCTTGAAAATTACGATGCATCCAGGCATTATTCTAAATGCTTTATGGTCATCACTTTTTCTCAGCCTTGATAAGAATGCAAGGTTTGTAGTTGCATTCCTCAGAGTTAGGTCTCTAAATTATAAAATAAAAAAATAAATAAGAGGAAAGGTTGCCCACATAGACAAACTGCCAGAAAGGTAAGGGCAGAGCTAACTTCTTGGAAGACTAGCACCTGGGCCTTAAATAATATCAGGATTCTCTTCTCTTCCTTCTCATTTTTAAGAAAACAATGGAAATGGCACTTTCTGCTCAATTCCATTTTAATGAATCCTGGTGAAGAATTCCATCTATGTCGCATAATCCCTTTTACTGGGGGATTTTTGATTGGCAGCCTATACAAGAAGCACTGCTTTGAAGGAGCCCTTCCAAGAAAGAACAAGAGGTGCTTTTCTGAGCAAACAGCATAAATGCCCATACTGTTCTAATTTGCAGAAGTAGAAATAAAGTGATTCAGAAAGGGTGGCCAAACTGACCAAGGTCACTGATGAAAACTTGTAAAATGTAGATTCAAATCTGATTTTTGTGAGCTCTTTGGCTTATTTTGTTTGCACTTCAGCACATTTCAGTAAAGTGAAGGTTGGAAATGAAGGAGGGTAGCATGACAGTGTGAATGTTCTTTTTTAAGGAAATGCTTGACACTTGAAATTGGTGTTCACAGCTCTGGCCTTGAAGCCTCTTGACTCCAGGAAGGAGATTTTAAAAAAAAAGGTTTCACTTCTGAGTTAGTTTGAAAAGGCAAATATGAAGTGTGAAAAATTTTATATTATTAAATTATTTAAATAAAAGTTTTCTTTTTTGGATATGGCCTTTTCTACCATTTAAAAAATGGAAGAATAAAAATCATCATTTATAGAAGCCATTGAATATGAATGGGATTATACATGTTTGTAAATATTCCTTGAATAATTGTAGCAAATTTTATTTGGTGGTACAACTAATAGTGGAAGACTATTAAAAAGTAGTTTTTTTGGGTGGGGGGTTTAGCTCAGTGGTTCCGCCACCTGCCTTGCAAACACAAGGTCCCGAGTTTGATCCCCAGTGCCCTCCTTCAAAAAAGTAATTTTTCATGAGGCAGTTCAGTCTTTTTTGAAGAAAGGAATATAAATGCTAGTATCTCTACTGCATTTGGCTCATTGCAAAAGAGTAGTACATTTATTACCTGGTATTGGAAAGATACTTTCAAATGTTGCCAGGTACAGTGTGTTCTCAGTTATGTCTTATAGGAATGTATTTGATAGTATGTTTTCTAGAGGACTGTGTGAAAGAAACTAGCCTGCAATGATAATGTACCAAATGTGCTAGAAAACATTGAGTTCACATGTTTTATACATGTGATAAAAAATGAAACATTGAAGGAAGTAAAATTAATCATAGGTACTGAAAAATGAGTTTCTGAGGATTAAATTATTAGTTTTAGGCATATTGCTTAAAATCATATAATCAGTTTGCTTTTTAAAAAATTCAGTTAGTCAAATGGCTTAGCCTTTTTTTCTTCTTTCAGGTCACTATGGAATAATAATAATAAAGTTCCATTGTGGGGTCGAGGGTACATAGTAGTAGTAGTAGTAGTAATAGTGTTTGTATCCCTGAGGGCAGTGTGTGGTTTGAAAAACTTTCGCACTGAGTATTGTTAGTTGTGTGGTACAGTAGTCCTCGTGTAAGGCCCCTGGTTAATACCTGAAACTGCCAATAGTACTACACTCTATACAATTGACTGTTAGCATCCATGTGTATTTTTTTCTAGGATCCTCTAATAATACCAAAATCTGCCGACATTTAAGTCCTCTATATAAAATAGCATAATCTTTGGATATAACCTTATTCACATTCTTATGTGTATGTTTAAAACATCTCTAGGTTACTTATAATGCATAATACAATGTAAATGCTTTATAAATAGTTGTAGTGTATTGTTTAGGGAATAAAATGAAAAAGTCTGTATGTATATTGCAAATGCAATTTTTTTGAATATTTTCTTTTTCTTTTTTTCTTTGTTTTGGTACCGGGGATCGAACTTGGGTCTTTGTGCTTGCAAGACAGGCAGTGGAACCACTGAGCTAAATCCCCAGCCCTTTTTAAGTATTTTCCATCTGTGTTTGGTTGATTTGATGAATGTGGGAACCATGGATGTGGAGGGCCAATTCTCTTTAAAATGTTTTAAAATATATATTCATGATAAAGTTTAATTTATACATTAAACAAGAGGTTGAAAACAATAATAAAATGGAACAATTAGAAAAATATACATAATAAGAATTGTGTGAGTATAATCTCTCTTTAAATATCGTATTGCACAGTACTGTACTTCGCCCTTATAATGATGTGATTTAATACAATGCTTATATGGTGAGATGAGGTGACTAATTTATCACATTTTTGCCTTTTGAGATTTAACAGTAAAACTAGCACAAATTTCTTTTTCATTTTTCACTTTCACAGGTAAAAGATTCATTCTTACCATAGATCTTAGCAACCTTGGCATGTGATTTTTTTCTTTGCTTATAAGTCAAGAACTTTCACCTTTTCACTTAAAGGAATCACTTTGTTACTTCCCTTTAATGTCTTCAAATTGCTGGGAACACAACTCTTGCATTTTGGGGAACCATTATTGAGTGAATCATGGGTTACTTGAATAGAAGCACTGCAATACCAAGGTAGTTGGTCAGATTGCCAGCATGTCTAGTCAGTGAGTAGTGGACAGGTGGCATATCCAACGTGGATACACTGGACAGGGGTGATTCATCTTCCCTGTGGAATGGAGAAGGATGGTACCAAATGTCATCACACTACTTAGAACAGCACAGGCTAGAAGTTATGAATTCTTTACTTCTGGAATCTTTCATTTAATGTTTTCAGATCATTACTGACCTCTGATAACTGAAACCATGGAAAGAAACTAGATGAGAGAAGAATACTGTCCTACAGAAAACACTTAGTCAAGGAACAAAATGACTTATTTTTATTATCAGTGTTCTTATGATATTGCTTCTGTTTTCCTACTAAAGGCAAACTAAGTGGAGTTTTTAAAAACTAGCCACTTGTGGCCTAATTGAAACACCATCTGAAAACATTAGAAAGCTAATATATTTATTAAATATGTAGGAATTTAAAAAATATATTTTTACTGTTTTTAGAAATAACAGTTTTACAAGTATACCAAATTATCCTTTTTTTTTTTTTGTACTGGGGATTGAACTTGGGACCTCATGCTTGTAAGGCAGACAGCGGCACCACTGAGCTAAATTCCTGGCCCCCCAATTATCTGTTTTTTTTATATAACATAGGGATCTTCTCTTTAAAGCTGTGAAATATACAAAAATATAATTTCTGTTTTTTTCAATATTTATTTTTCTCCGAAAATGTCTGTGTTTCTGTGACCAGCTTGCTTCTAGAAATCACTGATAGGCTGTGTAATTATTTTATCCTCAGGTCATTGTTCTCTCTTCTAATAGATCTGAACCTTAGGTTTGTTGGTGCATTAAATAACTAATTACCTATCATTGGTGTCTAAACTAAGCTCATGAGGCATCTGTGGCCCCAAGTGAGTGCCAGCAACAAAGCTGCTGTATATGGTTATCTTCAGGGGAACTAGAGAGCTGCCCTGAGGTTTGGGAAGGTAGGAAAGGGGTTAATTGCTTCATTGCAGCCTTTGGCACCAATTTACCCTCATGTTGTTAGGTATATAAATCTAGCTGGAACCAAGTCTAGTGGTCAAGCCTGTGTTTCATTATCAGCTGTCATTATCAGCAGTTTCATGACTACCTTGTGCCTTAGTATTGATTTCTCTTTGTCTATAACCAGACAACCAAGTGAAATCTGAGCAAGTAAGTTTTGGAATGTCAAGTTGACAAAAGGAAATCTAGATGATACTTTCCTCCTTCTCCTTCTTTTCTTTTAAAGAGATCATCATTCAAATCATTGTGATCTAAGGCCAAAAACAAGATAAAACACGTGCTTCGGTTGATTGAGTACAATTATTAAAAGCAAAAATGGAAAATGAACCGGAACAAGATAGTGTGGAACAGAATCTCTGTGTCAAGACTGCTACTGAAGAAGAACCGAATAAGTCTTTCAATCTAGAAGCTTCACTTTCAAAATTCTCTTACATTGATCTGGACAAGGAGCTGGAGTTCAGAAATGATTTGGTAAAGCTTCAGCTTTTGTCAAGTGGTGCCTTTTAACTGAAGTTTTGGTTATAGTGTGTTTTATGATCCAAACACTCTCAAGCCTGTTGTTTCTGTATGGGTTAGTAGGCATCTATGTACAGTTTTATGAGATACTATCATTCTTCATTTGTGTAGTCCATTAAAGTTTATGGAACACTTTGATTCATGTTGTCAGTTGAGCTTCACAGCACTTAGATAATCTATTTTATAGATGAAGATACTTGTGTGCAGCTGTGTTAAATGACGTCTCAAGGTCAGAGAGCTAGTGGTAGATTTAGAATTCTTATCTTGCACAGCAGTGTTTTCTCCAGTGACTAAATATTATATTAATGGGTTTCTGTGACTATATTTATTAACAAGCTCTTTGACCTAATTATCTTAGTATATTTTATGAAATAACTAAAATATATCAGACATTGGCATATCACATATGTCTTAACTTTAAACTTAGGAGATTTGGGGTTGTCATAAGATGTGGTATTTTGTCATGTTGAAGAAAGCTGATAGAAAAGTCCTTGTATAGAAGTTGTCTGGAAAGGGTCCTCTGATAATGCTGTCCAATGCATACATGTTGTTAGTACACTGAATGTATAGATAGGCAAGGTAACAATTCTATAGTCTTTTGATCTGACTCATATCGTGGATTACTGAGTTGACTGCTAGATCAATTGTATGATAAGATTATCTTATCATTTATATTTGGTTAAAACACCTTCACAGTTTTATGGGGAAAGGTATTATATTGTGGGGATTAATTTCTTTTCTTTATTTAGATTGATGACAAGGAGTTTGATATTCCTCAAGTTGATACTCCTCCAACACTGGAAAGCATACTAAATGAAGTAAGTAAATATTAATGATCATTATCATTTTCTGACATTAATTTTTAATACTTTTGGGTTAGTTATATATAGCTACATATACAGTATCCAAGTGTGGTAGCTGCTAGCAACATGTGTCAATTTAAAGCTTAAATTAATTATAATTAAATAAAAATTAAATTTGTCAGCAGCATAAGTCACATCTCAGATGCTCAATAGCCTCATGAAGCTGGTGTCTATTATAGAGGGCAGCATAGATGCCAAATATTTCCATCACTGCAGAAAATTCTGTTGGATAGTACTGGTCTGGATTGTGAGCTTCATAGGTGCAGAAGCCATGTCTTGTCCATCTTTAGAATCTCTGAGGCCAGAATAATGCCTAATCCTTAACAGACTTAAAAAATTAGGGCTGGGGGTAAAGCTTAGTACTAGAGTGCATGCTTAGCATGTATGAAACCTTGGATTCAATAAATATGTTTTAAGTGAATTGAAATATTAAGTTCATGTCACTTTGGAGCTTTGTAATTATGTTGATAATGATTAGTTATCTGTACCAGTGATATTCAGACAGTTCATCCTTTGATACTAAAGAGCATCTTACAACTGTATAATGAGCTGCTTCATTCTTCTACATGAAGGAAACCAAACCTCCACTATTTGTCTTAGGAATACCATCTCTAGTGAAAAGTTTTTCAGCTTTGAATCAGTGTTACCCTTTTGTGAATTGGCAGATCAAAAAAAACTCTTGGGGTAGTAGCAATTGGTGCAATAAGACAGTTTCTGTGTGCTGCTGACAGCTCTTCACTTCCGTGTTTTTGACCTTTTGAAAATTTAAGACTTTTCTTGGAGGTTTCATCCTCTAGTTTGAGAAAGACTTTTTATGTTAAATCTATTTCAAATCTATTATTTTGTTTCCCAAAATATAAGGCTGTAAAGGTCCCTGACAGATGTGCCCACAATGCTGTAACCCTGAGTGAGCCTGGCTTCTGTTCTTTACCTACACTTTTAGGATTGTAGGCAATGCTTCCTAAGATACAAACTACTTTTCTATGGATTGTGTCTTTTATTTTTCTTCTATAGCTTTGATTGCTGTTTTTTGTATCAGTTTGATATTGCTGTCACTTTGAATGTACAGTATTTTAACTTCAAAAATGTTCTGTGTAATCTTTGTGAAGGCTAAAGCATTTTTAGTTTTGAGAGGTGATGTTGGGTCCTGGAAATATTATACTATTGTGAAATGACCTTTATTACTTTCTAATATAGAGAAAAGATTTCATTCAGAAGTGAAGAGGTTAATTTTAGTCAGTTTTATTAACATGGTCTTAACCATATCCTTATTTTAATTATCTTACTAAGTGTAAAATAAAAACAATCCCAGAGGATTATGTGAGAGCTCTATTTGTACATCTTTATGTAATATTGGTACAGAAAATAATGCTCACATAAATGGACTGTGGTTTGTAATGAAGGCAGACTGCCTTTGCCTAGCTTTCTATCTCTGAATAGCAGTAAGTCTTGTCATTATTGGTTTATCGAGAAGGTAATACTGTTATTCTCAGTATATTTGGTGCCTTGTATATTTGGCTTATGGTTTTAGGTGCTAGCATTATAAAGTGCTATATGTATGACTGTTTCAGTTCTTGAAAGGGAAATGTGACTGGAAATTGGCCAGCCTTTATACCTCCAGGGAACTAGGCAAGTAGATAGGTGGAAGAAAAAATAATTTTAGTTGTAGACCATTAATGAAGACTGTAAGAAGGGGGGTAATATTAAAGAAATGATTTTTTTAAGAAAAGCTCAGATGTGTAAATAAGCCCTTGCTCCAGGCTGTCTGGGTGTATGTATTCTGTAATGTTCATTAATATCAGCCTGAAGGAATGCTGGGAAGAAATGGACAATCAAAACATTAAATAGAAAATGGAAAGCTAGAAATTACTGAAACATCTGAGCTCTCAGAACTTAGGGCATGGAATACTACTATAAGGCCTTATTGTTCTTTGAAATGGTGCTGCCTTTGAAGTTTTTCATTTTGAAATTCCATTCTCTAGCCATAGAACCCCCCCATTACTTCATTAAACTCATTCTTTATCTTCATCATGGCCAAATTTCTCGAGCCTTGTATTCTCCTAGCTTCTACATAGCCTCTGTTTACTTCAATTTCACTGTTGGATTGTGCACGGAATGTCTTTTGAACTCTTCTGTTGCAGTATAACATGCACATGGAAAGGTGCACAAGTCATAAGAGTATAGCACAGTGAATTTTCACAATCTGAACAATTTGTATAAGTAGAATCCAGAAGAAGAAGCCAATTTTACTAACACCCCAGAAGTGCATCTTGTGTCCCTTTGGCACCCAACCTCAGAATAATTACTATTCTACGTTCTGCTAGCTCTTGTTCATTTGTCTACTTTTGTCAGTGTACATGGAATAGGTACTGTTCTGTGTCTGATTTATTGTCCTCAATATTTGTTTTTAGACCTGTCTATATTTTTGTTTATTCATTTCCAATGTTGTAACCTATATACATATATATAATTTATGCATTCTGTTGTTGATAGACATTTGTGTAGTTTCCAGTTTCTGACTATTGTGAAGAATGCTGCTGGGAATATTCTTATTCACATCTTTTGGTATTTACACATGTGTACACACTTTGGGGAGTGGATGCCCAAGAGTAGAATTGCTGAGCCATCAGATATGGTTATATTCAGCTTTCTTGTATAGTGCCATGGTTTTTCAAAGTGGTTGTTATCAACATATATTCCCAGGAGCGAAAAAATGAGAGGCCTGGTTACTTATGCTCTTGTTTTTTTGTTTTTTGTGGTACCGGGGATCAAACTCAGGTCCTTGCACTTGCAAGGCAGGTAGCGGAACCACTGAGCTAAATCCCCGGCCCCTTATGTACTTGTTAACATTTGAATTTTTCTTTTTTTTCAGTTTGGTCTTTTGTGCTCATGGGTAGGTATATAGTATCACATTGTGATTTTAGTTTGAATTTCCCTGAATACTCATGAAGTTGGGCACCTTGACATATGTTTTGGCCATTTGTATATCTGTTTTGTGAATTATCTTTTCATGTCTTTAATTTACTTAATTCTGTTTTTATTTTTAAGAAAATGATTTATAAAAGTTCTTTATATATGCTGGTACAGGCTCTTTCTTTATTAGTTATATTTATTACAAACACCTTCTTTTGTTCCCTAAGAAACCTTTTATTCTACTAATGGTTTCTTTTGGTGGTGAATAGTTCTTATATAGTTAAACTTTTAAAATTTTTCTGTCATGTTTTTTTGTGTATCTTAAAATTTTGCCAGTTCCAATGTCATGATGATGTGATCATATTTTGTTCTAAAAATTTGTATTGTTCTGCCCTTCTCATTTAGATCTGTAATTGATATGGAGGGTGCATGTGTATGTGTGTCTGTGTGTGCATGCGTGTGTATATTACTAGATACCATTTACTGAAAGGGGTATTCTTGTTTGTGATGTTAATCCCATGTACATATATGTGTGGATCTGATTCTGCCGTTCTGTCTTAAACTTGCCCCAGTAGCACATTCTCATAGTTAAATATTTATGATAGTATCTGGTAGTTTCAAATCTTCCAGCTTTGTTGTTGTCTTTTGAGATTGCCTTGCTTATTCTTGGTATTTTATATTTCCATGTAAATTTTAGAATTAAGTATTGGTTTACACACATAGATACACACAAATCAACTGAAATTTGATAAGATTGTGTAGATTTTGCATATCACTTTTGGGGAAATTGATACCTCTATCATGTGGAAGTAGTTTTAAATTCAGTCTTGACATCCTTAATTCTTTTTTCTCCACTTTTTCTTTTGCTTATCCTGTAAGCCTGGCTTAAGTTAGCTGATCTATTTCCCTTTATGTCCCCAGGCTGCATAAGAAAATCAAGTAAGGTTTTGATAGCCTCTCTTGCTTAAGATCTTGGTGCTGCAGTTCTTATTTCTGAATTATTTCTTTTTCTCTTTCTTATAGTAATTGTTCCAATCTTTTATAGCTCTCAAGTAACAGTATCTCCTTGTCAGTGCTAACCCTGTTCTTAGTATACTTGTATGTGTGGATATTTGAAAAGCTTTTGTAAATATAGACCAACACCTCAAGAGAAATGTTGATACTGAAAATACAGATTTCAGAGTCATTCATCTGACATGGTACTGAAAGCTATAGATATTAGTGAGTTTGATCAAATAGCAAATGTATGAAGCAGGAAGAGAGCTGAAAATACAATCCTGGGAAAAACAGCTGTGAAGTTTGGCTGGGTAGAAGCTAGAGAACAAGAGTCCATATAAACTGTAGGAGAACCAGGAGAGATCTTAGGGGAGATCAAGATCAGTCAGATGAAGAGGAGAGAAAGTTTCATGAAGCAGAGGAGGTCAGCAGTGTTAAATGATACAAGGAGGACAAGAGAATACTAATTGAAAGTAGGCTGGTGGATTTGGCTAGTCACTTCTGCCAAGGTCAGTAGTCAGTATTTTGGAATAAGGGAAAATGGTTTATTCTCTCAAAAACACTGATTGAAGACATAAAAGCAGGAGGTAGTCTAGCTGCAAGAGAAGGGAGGATCAGGACATTCTTCTTTTATTTCTCTGAGTCACAGTCAACTTGTACACAGCCTGTTCCCCATCCTGCTCTTTGTGCTATTTCTGTGCCTTCTTATCCCAATCAGTGGTATCATCTTCTGCTTAGTTGCTCAAGCTGGAAACCTTGGAAATCTTTGACTTTTCTTTTATCTCTCCTTTTCCCTTCATTTACAGGAACTTTTGATTTTATATCTATATTACCTCTTTCATCATTCTCTGTTGATTTCTGTTGAATTTGTAGGCCAGAATCTCTTCTCCTTCTTTAATAATTTCCCTAGAGTGGCCCTCTTTCTGGTGCTTAATAATCTCTCTGTTTCAGTTTTTCTCTTTTGTCCATCCTTCATACTGCCCCATTTAACATGCTAAAACATAGTTCCCATCATATCTTTCCACTTTTGAAATTATCAGTTGTCTTCCCACTACCTACTACATTATGGCATACTAATTTGTTAAATTGGGAGTACTGATTATGTTCCAGACAGTGTACTAAGAAGATGGTTACTTTGGTGGACAAGAAAAACATGGGCTTTGCTGCCATCAGGCTTAATGAAATATATGGCTTTTTATAATTTGGGTCCTACCTTACCTTTCATGTTATGAAATCAATATATCTGCATATGCTGTTTTCTACCCAGAATGCCCTTTTTTCTGTTTACCTGTTACATTTTTCACAGTAGACTGTTTATAGTCTGGTAATACTTGTTTTCTTGTAATTAGCTATTTCTTTTAATTAACTAATAAAGCATCTGTACAGGTTTGAATTTTAATAAATATTCAGCTAACAGCAGTTTGTACTGCCTCTCCTGATTCCTTCTATAAAAAAAGTTTTTAGCATCAACTCTTTGTAGAGAGTGATATCTATATAGAATTAATATTTAATTCCTGTGCTGTGACTGTGGTGGATAAAAATGAATAGAATAGAGGTGAAGAGCAGAAATAAGCACTTGAATGTTTTAGAGACACCCATGATGCCTATTTGTTTGTTTGGTTTTTTGTTGTTGTTGTTGTTGTTGTTTTGGTACCAGGGATTGAACTCAGGTCCTTGTGCTTGCAAGGCAGGCGGTGGAACCACTGAGCTAAATCCCTGGCCCCCATTATGCCTATTTGACTTGTCTCAAAGCATTTTGAATGTGTTATTATATCTTTTTCCAATTTAGACTGATGATGAAGATGAGTCTTTTGTTCTCGAGGATCCTACGTTGTTAAACATTGATACCATTGACTCACACTCCTATGATACTTCGTCTGTGGCAAGCTCAGATAGTGGTGACAGGACCAACCTAAAAAGGTAAATATTCATGTAAATCACTTGCATGTGGTTGAAGTATTTGATCATTCAAAATGTCAGTATCACTGTATAGTACTGTATGGTCTGTTGAAGCCCTGCATAAAAAGTAGATGGTTGTGTGGCAACACTATGCTGATTAGATCCTAAGGATTTTGGCACTATTGGAAGAGAAGATACAAAGGTTGGTGTTGTGACTGTTGTCTTTAGAACCTGCAGTAGGAAGCCATAATAATAACCAGGGCCCCCTAGCAATAGTAGAGCCCTTAGAAGGAGTATAAGTCACACATGACACACAGTGTTTGTGGTAGAAACAGAGCGTGGTCCATCTTTGCCACCCTTGTTTCTCCTGTGCTCCCCACCCCCATTCTCAGAGGTCAGCTTCCCATTACTTCACTCCTTTAGAGTGGTGGGTTCAGAGATGATTAAAGATTTGGGAAAAGGACTTCTAACCCTGAATAACTTCAATTTTGGCTGCATTTCACTCTCCAAATTCTTGGAGAGAACATGAAAAGGAAAGAGAAGTGAAGGAGAATAATGTAAACACTTTATTGGATTCATGTGTAACCTTAACGTTGCTAAAGTTACCTATGTCTTTCTCCTCCTCTTAATTTTTGCCATATCAGTGCTATCTTGTTTAGTCTGTTGTCTCTGGAAGGGGAGGTGCTGTTGTTGGATATGTTCACTTGTTCATCACTGTGTCCTCCAAATAAGTAACTTAGGAGTTTATGATGATTTAGTCACTACCTGCTTAAAACCTGTAGAGTCGCCTTGTTGCCTAGGTAATGAAGTCAGAGATCCTAGTGTGGCATCAGTCTGGACCCTCCTTACTGCTTGGGCTCATCTACGAGTATTTCCATGCCTATTGCCCAGTCCATCCCTATTTGTACTCGCTGTTCCCCAGGTACAGTGTATACTTTTCCATCTTCACATTTCTGCTCATGCTTTTTGCCAGACATTTGTCATTCATCTATTTTGCTAGTCATTCATCAGGCCAAATCAGACGTCTCTTTTCTACAGCTATCCCTAAATGATAACCCCTAAATAAACAGGATTACACTCTTCCTCATTTGCATTTGTATACTGTATTCATATTTCTATTCTCATATTTATCTTGTAAGAGTTACTGATCAGTCCCTCCAGCTTGGCTCTAAGATCCTTGACAGTCAGAACTGTGTCTTTCTTCATTTTGTACCCCTAGAGTATACTTTTAGTCATATAGAGAAGGTGCTCAGAAATGTTGGTAAAGATGCTGAATAGTGCAAAGTGAAAGGAATCATTCCTGGGAGCAGCAGAGAGTGAGTAATGAGTGGAGGACTGAGAAGGTGCTTGGTAGAAGGAGGAGGGCAAGATGACAGGCAGGGTAGCAAAGCAAGTGGAGGTGATGCAGACAGGTAGGTCAGGAAGAGTGATCTGTAGCTACCTTCTGAAGAACTATAGAACTTAAGATATTCTGTAAGGTGAGTTTAAGAAGGGTTTGAATCAGTGGGCATGGAATGGTGACTTTATTCATTTTCCTTCTTGTGCTTCTCTGAGGTTCAAGATAGGAAGATTGATTTAGTACACATCTTAATGTATAACTGTTAGATTCTCATGTCTTTCTGTCTCTCTCTTTTAAATTTGGTGCCGGGGAATGAACCAAATGTATTGTGCATGCTAGGCAAGCACTCTGCCTCTGAGGTGTGTCCCAGCCTTGAACTTCTTTTTAAAACAGAACTAACACATGACAGCGTTATTTTCCACTTTTCTTATTTTTATATGTTTTTTTTTGTTTGTTTGTTTGTTTTTGCTCAAAGCATTGGGGTCCTGCCTTCTCAGTTTTTACATTGGTTCTTAAACATTTTTCTTTTTGTTTTAATGTTCTTTTTTTAGGAAGAAGAAATTACCTGATTCTTTTTCACTCCATGGCTCAGTTATGCGGCATTCACTTCTGAAGGGAATTTCTGCCCAGATAGTATCTGCAGCTGTAAGTATTTTGTTCTTTTCCCCCACTTTATAACCTGCAATGGCATAATGAAGTAGGAATGAGCATAAAACAAAGCACAGCTCTTCTCTTGGCCTGAAGCTTAAGAAAAATAGAATCTGGCTTTCATGGTTTTTGTGTGATTATTTTCAACTCATAAGACATGGCTACACATCTTGACGTAGAAATTAGTGCAGCCATGAAAATGAAGGTCTGCTCAGAGTTTCTTTCGAGTGTGCCTAAATGACATATGGCATTGGCCTAAAAAAAAACACTGCCTGCTTTCTCTTTACATTCCTTTTCAGGTTAGTTGCCATTGTGTGTGTTTGGTTGAGCAAGAATTTTTTTTTTTTTTTTAGTCTGTTCTTAAGCAGAAATGATTAATCACTCTTTTACAACTGAGTGATTTTTTTATAAGTCTTGAGTCTTTTCATGTACCTTATTTATACTTTCAACTTTGCAGATGGGTAAAGCCATACCCTATTTGACAAATGAAGAGATAGGCTCAGAGAGGTGATACTAACTTGTCTTATATCATTTAGATCAAAACAGAAGTTTTGGTTTTTCAAGAGGGCAAGAGGTTGATACAGAAATGGCATCATTACAACAACATTGCATTGTAATTTCAGGTTAATCAGGGAAGGCTCTTACTGTACATACAAAAAAAAAGTGTTCACTCTGGGCACCTGATATATCCTTACTCAGCCCGTGTATCATGAAGTCAGTTTAAATAGATGGTCAAGCAATTGAGGCAAGCTGGGCAATTGCCCTTCCTCTTCTAGGTGGAGAGTATCTCATATTTGCCAGAATGGGAACCACCTGTTGAGGATTACATTTCCATGACGTTTTCTGAATTTAATCCTTATGTAGGTGATGAAATTCATTCCTTTCAAAATCAAGATGAACCAGAACAGTCATTTGACCCACCTGTGCAGTTTTAAAAATATTTTGAATAATGGAGACTGAACTAAAACTCAGACAGTGAACAATGATTAGATAAATCTGTTATTTAAAAGGGTTTCTCCGCCCTCTCTAAGAGGAGGGGAAAATTCTAATAAATCCCAGAGTGTTTGCATTCTGTCCTTATTTCATTGCTATGGCTGAGCTCCTTTGGTATGTTAAAATGAAAACTGCTTTTCCTGTGACAGTCATCATATGGTGCCTTCCTAATTTTGGATTACCAGCTCAATTTAAGCTGCATGCTTTCTCTGTGATGGTTGATTTATTAACTTGTAAAACTAGTTACATTTTTGGACATTTCTTCTCAGTAGTGCCTTCCTCTTGATGGGTAGTTATGTTATCAGGACTTCTTATGACCTTGTTCATCACAGCTTTGGAGTCCAAGCATGAAAAACACTTAGGAGAGATGAAATTTTTGGAGTTGTGAACTTCATTGTTTAACTTTGGAATTTTTCTCAAGGTGATATGATGTGTATCAAATAACCTTTTAAGGTTTTTATCATTTTAACATTAACCTTGATATTACAGATACCTTCTCAGAGCTTTTTTAGAAATGTGACAAATACAGAAGAATCTCTTGGGGGTGCTAATAGGCAGATCATCCCAGATCTGCTGATTTGGAATCTAGCAGGGTAGCATAGGGCCCTGCGTTTTAATAGGCATCCCTGGTGATTGTAGTGTAGTCTGGCTTTTGAAAACCACTACCCTAAGATGTTGCAGCACCAATACTAAAATTCTGCAATCTCTAAAATGATCCCCACATCTGTGCTTTTTAGCGTTTGAAGTCAGTCAGGTGACTTTTGATTTCATTATTTGGGTTCCATTTTGGATATAGTTTATGTTTTTCATCTGGTCTCATTCCTCTTTTTTCCATGTCCAGGTTATAAATCATTTATCAAATATTTATTGCATGCATGTTAATTGTGAAGCATTGTGTTAGGTATGCTTTACTCACACATGTGCTCTTTAGAACATTGTGTACAGCGGTCTTGGTGATTGTTCTTTTTGATATTTCTGTGCATTGGAGTAAGTTTTTGGGTTAGCACCCAGGAAGCTCTAAGTTGGGTAAATAGATTCTGCTTCTGAGATCGTATAATAACTAATTGACCACATTGACAGGGATAGAACAGATGTAGAAGTGATACAAAGAACTTGGCCTAGGAAACACTGCGTTTGAGATGCAGTTCTACCATTTACTGAATAGCCTTGAGGAAGTCAGTTAACTTCTTTGAAACTTGATTTCTTAATCTGGAAAGTCAGAATAATATTGCCTTTCTATCTCTCCAAGCTAAAGGATCAAATACTATAAAATATGTGTATGAAAGCTCTTTGTTACTACGGTGCTACATTCACTGCAAGCCATTATTAAAGCTATGTATATGTGAGTATCAAATAGATGTTCTTATCTTTATACAATATTTTTACATTTAATCTGACTCTCAGGACACCTGAGGTAAGTAGGGCAGTGTTTACATTTTCTTTGAACAAATGAGAATGCTGACACGCAGGAAAGTTAGATGACTTCCCCAAGTTTACTGAGAAAGAGCAAAACTAGCACTTAATGTTTTACTTTCTTGCCCTTGAGAATGGGCCTAGTAAACCCTCCTGGTATTTTATGTAGGGGTTAGTAGGTAATCTGCTGCATAGCAAGCTTCTAGGCAGAGGTAGCAATGATTCCTTTTTCTTAAATATTCATCGACACTATGTTGTCTCTGCAGCACTTGTAGTTAATTACATTATGGAAAACAGGACATCTTTCTTCTCTCTTTTTCCTTTACATTTTCACTTATAATCAGTGTCCTTGAAGCATCTGTTACAACTACTAAAAGAAAAAGATCCGCTCATGCTCTTTTATTGTGATGATACATACATCTTTTGTAATTTTTCTTAGTTGATGGCAAAAAATGAAAGTTCCACCTCGTCTGAAACAACTTGAATGAAAATATATTCAAAGCCTTGTACTGTTTTCTGTTTTAAAATGAGACTGTCTTTTCAAATACATATTTTTTTAAAACTCTTTTTAGGACAAAGTAGATGCTGGCTTGCCTACAGCAATTGTAAGTATACTTTAAACCTTTTTCAGGTAAACTTTTTATTTAAATGGATTTTAAAATATTCTTAGAATGTTGAAAATTGTTGCATAAACTATTATGATTACAAATTCATAAGGCATTTTACTCTTAGGAATTAGGTTTAAAATTTGCCTGTGTTGAATGTTTTCATTCTAATTTCTTGTCACTCTTTAGGCTTTTGTTTGAGAAGCAGATAATGGAATCAGGATTAGTGTTTCTCAGGTTTATTTGTAGGTAGTATTACCTCCTCTCAAGTAAATTGCTTCTGTGATCTGGTCTCCCTTCTGTTATAGGGAGTGGAAAATAGCATTCAGCGAAATCCCTTTGTGGTAAATGTATATTTAACAGCTCTAGACTCCGGTGCCAAGCCTGCCAAATAGTAAATCTGTGGAGAACTGGGAGATATTGAAAGCACAATAATGCTCTTTTCTCATCTTCCTCCAGCTGCCTCCTGTGGCTTTCTTATTAGTCAGTCAATGGCTGAGTTTTTAATATTCTGATGGCTTTTGGCTCCTGTGAGTAAACTGGACAAGAGTTCTGGTATACTCCTTCCCCAGATCTCTCAGGAAACCCTTGGATGGCAAATAAGTGCCTTGTACTTTGTCTGGATTCTGATTTTTTTTAAAAAAATTGCTTTAGAGGAAGCTAAGTGGCATTTTTTTTTTCCTATAATGTTGAACATATGATATTTTGATACTGTTTCCCTTAGAGTAAATTTAAAGGGATTCTCAGAAATAAAAATGTCCTGAGTTTCATTTCCCGTTTTGCCTCCTAGTTGAAATTCTTATTTATAATAGTTGGTATGTCATCCGGTGCTTAGAGGAAGGCAGGCCAACAAATTTAACTCTGATTATTTCAAGATCTTCAATGTAATATCTTCAAATATAATTTTCCCTTTTGGTTTCAGGCAGTCTCCAGTCTGATAGCAGTGGGTACATCTCATGGATTGGCTTTAATATTTGGTAAATTTTCTAAGTACTTTCCTACTTGTAAAGAAATACTTGTTAAGAATCTTTTTGAGTTTTATAATGCCCTTTAATCATATTTTACAGAGTAGACTCCATTTTCTTGAACAAAACCAGAAAAATGTGTAAAGTAGCAGTGAATATTTTAGAGTTAAAATTGCTGGGTATGATGATGCATTCCTGTACACCTAGATACTCAAGAGGCTAGGGCAGAAAAATTACAAGTTCAAGACCAGCCTGGGCAAGATAGTGAGACCCTGTTTATATATACATACGTTTAAAAATTATTTGACTCACAGCTCCGTTTTGCGACTCATAGCAAGTCTTTCTTCCTTATGAATTTATATCAAATCTATTGGCTTTCTGTAGACCTAGACAAAATGGTTTGTCATTTGTCTCCTTTCATTTGGTGGTAGTGTTTATTTTAAAATGCTGAATGATAGTTCAGTAGTTGGTATTGTAAAAGATCTTCAGGGAAAGGGATTCCCCAGAATTCTGAGTAATTTTCCAGGATTTTATTGACACAAAGGGTTTGGTTCCACCGTAACTCTTTTAAACTGAAAAAAAAAAATTTAGCCCATAATTACATAGTTTTATTGGTTGAGAAGAGAACGTAAGTAGTTTATGGTAGATGTTAGTTGTATTTTCTCTCTGAGACTACATAATGTTTCATTAGTCCTCTGCTTTTGAATTTGTGGTATGTGAGCAGAATGTTTTCTTCTTTTATTTAAAAACCAGTAGATAATAATTTTCTCTCCTTTTTTCTGTTCTTGCCTAGATCTTAGGTCTTTTGCATCTCTCTTAAATGGAAAACCTGGTAATACTATATTTAGGAAGGAATATTTGCTAAGGGCAACTTGAAAGTATTGTAATAACAGAACCATAATTTCATCTCTGTGGAGCCTTGCATCTTTATTTACTGTATGAGTGGATAACTGGTTTCCGTTGTACAATTTAGCCTTCTATTTATGAGTTTTCTATCATGGTGAAAGCTTTATTTAACATGAGATTGTAATATCTTGTCTTTTCAAAGGTGATTATTTAAGTAATACAGTTTTATTTCTTGGAGACCAGAGGACCAGAAACAAAGAATATAATTTCTTTGAAAGAAATTTAGAATTCATTCTTTAAATAATACTATTTTATTACTATTTAGTTGACATATATATATGCAAAGAGGAAAATTTAAAAATATAGATGAACAAAAAGTCGAAGATATAAAATTATAAAATACCTAATTCTAATATCCAGAAACAATCCTTAAAAGTTCTATGTAATCTGGTCTTTTTAATTTTCTTTCTTTCTTTCTTCCTTTTTTAATATTGAAGGTTAAAGACCTTGTGCATGGTAGCCAAGTACTGTAGCATGGTGCTACATCCCCAACACTTTTTAAATTTTATTTTGAGACAGGATTTCATTAAGTTGCATAAACCATTCTTGACTTTGAGATCCTCCTGCCTCATTCTCCTAAAGATTATGGGATTATACTATAGTACACCTGGCTGATTCGAAGTCTTTTTTTTCTATGCATGTACAAATGTATGTGTATGTGTTGCCAAATGAGATCATATTAATCTGTGAACTGCTTTTCATTATGTACTTGTAATATTTTAAATGGATTAATCAAAATTTACTTGACATCTCCATACATAAGATGTCTCCCCCCTCTCTCCTCTGACTCTGTCTCTCTCAGTTGAACCCAGGGCCTTCACACTGGACTATATCACCAGCCCCCGCACCCCTTTTTGAGACGGAGTGTCATAAGTTCCTAAATTACCTAGGCTGGGCTCAAACTTGTGATTCTCTTGCCTCATCCTCCTAGAGTACTTGGATTACAGGCATGTGCCACCACCAAGAAAGTTTGTTGAGTTGTTTCTAACAGTAATGTGATGAACACCTTTGTTTCTGCATTTTTGTGTATATGATTAGTTTCTTAGGATAAATTCCTAAAGGTGGAATTTCTTGGGCCTGGACATAAACATTAAAGACTTGATGTGTGTTGTTTGATTGCCTTTCAGAAAAGTTTTGGCAGGTTGGTTTCCTATCAAGTACAAGAATGCTTATTTTCCTGTAAGAGTATAAGTGGAATTGGGTTGATAGACCTGGGAAATGTCTTACAGAGTCTTTTTGTTGTCTTTTTATTTTACACATGAGATGATTGAAGAGCCAAGAGACTAAGTGACATATCCAGAATTGAGTTCAGAGTCAAAGGCTACTGAATCTTAAATTAGTGCATTTTCACTCTCCAAGTAATTCCCCTGTTCTGAGAGCAAAGGAGGCAAATTCCAAGATATGAAGAAAAGAATAGAGCTGAGGTGACAGAGGATAGAATGCAATGCATATGTTTATCTGGCAGCAGAATGCATGTTGATGTTTTTTGTTCCCACTCACGAGGACTCAGTTTTCCTCAACTGTCTGCTTTAACATCCCTTCCTTATCAAGAAATTGTAGAGTATGTGACTGCTTATAATCAAACCTGCATAGAGCTTACCACAAGCAAATTTAAATGAATACTTTAAAAACTAACAGGGGAGAATAATACATTATCTTTTGATACAGTCTCCTTCATTTCCTTGGGCCTGGTGCTTGTTTTTTTAGATTCCCCAGCAGCTTTTTGTAGATACGATGAAATAGTAATCTTTTATTACTGTTTCATGGAAAAGGAAGTATGCCAAAGTGAACATTTTGGAAAGAATCTTGGTATTCTGGTTGTGCTTTGGGCTTTAAGAGTGTAGCTCATAAATTTTATTCATTATTGTTTGTAGGAAGCAGATGTTTGGACAGTGCTTTTTAACAAATGGATTAAAATACACAGGAACAAATGGCAGACACTGCGAAGTGTCTAGACTAGAGGTCTGGGTTAGATCTGATTTTTAAAACATATCTTTGTTGATTGTAGAAGAAAGTATAACAGGAAGAGCAACACTTGTTTAAGCACTAGATTTTCCTTGAAATAGAGGCCTGAATTACTAAAAGAGTTACCATTGTAAGCTTAAGGTTAATGCAGAATGCATACTCTTATGGAATTTTAGGTGTACAGCATTTTTTGTGTATCTTGGTTCTCACCTTCTACAGATCCTCAAAAGTACAAACCTTAATGAAAATATTTGCCTAACCCCAAACCCATACTTTTCCTTTTTATTTTTGATTGTGAGTGTACCTCAGTAGTTATCTTTTTAAAATTTGTTTTTGTTTCTTTCTAACTGAAACATTTCTAACTGAATATACTTACAATGTTATAATTTGAATATTCTCTTTTTTCCAGAATTAATACCTGAATATAATCATAAATGCTAGACATCATTTAATAGACATCAGTTAACCAAATTTAATAGCATTGCTGCAGATAACTAAAGTTTGTCACTTACACCCTTAAATTTTTATCTGCATTTTCTCTGAACTTTTGAACTGATTTCTTGTTTTTTTTTCTCTCTTTTGATCTTTTCTTCATGGATTCAAAAGGAAAAGGTATAGTAAATTTGGTTTGCATGACTGGTTCTTTTAATTTGATTTTTTCAGTGCTGAAAGAGACTGCCAGTTATAATCAGTGCTCTTGTATGAAAGAAATATAAATAGCTAATTGAAAAATTAAAACAGAGACTTGTGAAAAACAGTACACACCTTTAATGCCTGAACTGAAAATATGTTTTCCTAATTGCTTGCTACAATCCAGGGCTTTTCTTTGAGTTTATACGTGCTGATAGGAGGTCTACAGCATCTTTTTTGGCATGAACTTTATTCATAATGGGTCATGTAAAATTTAAGCACCTGTGAATCAGTCCATGAGTACAAAATTCTAGATTTTAACAAAACTTTCCTTCAGTCCTTTACTGTCACCTTGTTAGCACTCTATTTCATGACAGTTTTATAAAGCAACTGACTTTTACCAATTCTGAAACATCCTCTCAGTGTTCATAGAAACCACAGCCCTTTGTCTTCCACTGTTTTATCGCTTTATATACTTTTAAGTCTTTAAAGTACAGTAACATTCCAGTGGCCTGAAGAGGCACAGAAATTAACATCCTGCCTCAGTAAGCTTCAGTCTTCTGGAAGGTGACCGGTTAGCCAAGGGCATTCAGGGTGCTCTGGTCTTGCATCTGTGAACCTGTGGAGAGTGTGAGAACTTCTATCCTGTGACTTGGTCAGATGTGGGTTAGGTAAAAGATACTTCTGCTATTTTATAATCATTGGTAAAAATGTTCCCTAATGAGATCTCCTTTATTTTTGTTCTTTGGTCCTAGAGAATATGTTAACATAATAAAGGATAAGAAAAATAGTATTAAAGAATGATGAATACTGGCAGGTTAGAGTTCACACATAGTTAAATTTGATTCCTTCTGGGATATAAATGTTTCCCTGTATGATTATCTTTGGAACTAATTGAAACAAAGTAGGGATGAAAAAATAGTGGACTGGCTTGTTTTTGGTATATAGACTTAGAAATTCTTGAAGATTTTAGGGGAATTATAAACTATTATATGTAGCATTTCTTTGCTATTTAGCACTTTATTTTATTTTATTTTATTTTTTTGATAACCAGACTCAGGACCTTGCACTTGTGAGGCAGGCGGTAACACCACTGAACTAAATCCCTGGCCTTAGCACATAACCCTTGAGATCTTCCCTGAGCCAAGTATACTTTGCAAGATACATAGACAGGAGAATATTCTTTATCCGAAGTGCTTGGCACCAGAAATGTGTCCTATTTTGCAGGCTTTGGGATTTTGGAATATTCATGTAGACTTCACAGGTCAAGCACCCGTAATGCAAAATACAAATGCTCCATAAATCAAAATCTTTTTTGACTGTTAATTTAATATATTTTTTATAAAATTTTTAATTGTGGAACATTTCAGATTTTGGATATTTAGATTAGGAATATTCAGCCCATACTAACCAAAGAAATAAATAGAATTCATTGTAGTGTCAAGTAGATAAGTTTTTGCTGATATCTGGTTGTTAAGTTCCTTTCCTTTGTAAACTGTAATATTGTCATTAGTAATAATCCCTTGGATTTGTGCCTTTTAGTAGTTTCAAATTTTTCATAGGCCTTTTGTTGTTTAAGCATTATGTGAACTCTGTGAAGTTCAAGGGAAAGTGATGATCTTGTTTCAAATTTCTCACTGGGTCACCTGCTTCATAAGGATCCACTCCAGTTTTTTTTAATACTACCAAGTGGACAGTGTCAACCAGTATAGTTGTATCTGAATCTGTAAATAACAGCCTGGATGGAACTCTCATTTCCACCTTTCCTGCTTCTGTCCAGGTCCTTTTGTTCTCTCCATGAAATAAGATTTAAGTGTTTTAAAGATGTTTTATATCTGTTTTAGCCAAATGCTTTCCCCCAGAATTGTCCACAATTATCTGAACTACAGAATGTCTAGTTACTCTAATAGGAGAAACCTGCCATCTTCTTTCCACAGAAATTCTACCTTTTCTGAGTTTAATATAAATTAAATAATAGCAAGTTTCTTAACGTACCATAGAGATGGAATGACAAAAGATAGAATGAGAATTTAAAAAATGTCTGTGGAGTTAGAGTTGATTACATTTTATGTGCAGACTATCACCTGTCCACCATCCTTTACTGCTTTAAAAATTATGTGTAAATCTAATCTGTAAGTTAGTCTTGTAAACTTAATAATATTCAGGGGTCATTGAATGATATTTTGTGTATTATCTTACTTTACTGATTTATTCATTTTAGCAACACAATGAAGTCATCTGTTTTCTACATTATACAGAAGAAAGTAGGGAAGTTTAGAGAAATTAAGTAGCATTCCTAAAATTGCCCAAACATATAGTTGTATTGCCTGTAACTCTAGGAGTAGGGGTGGGTTAAATTTCAAGTGTCTTGTTTCACAGCCACAGTACTTCATACAGGGAAACTATAATGATGGCAAATACATTTTAAAACTCAAGAAAAAAATTGGATATTTTCATTGACACAGATCTGTAGGATATAATTTAAGGCATATTTTAGGGGTGAGGAAGGTTGATGATAGTTTAATTTTCTGTCTTATCTAGTTTTTCCTATGTGATAACTATAGTCAGGAAAGCCCGACCACACAGTCATGTTTGGGTGTCTAACCATTAGATGTCCTTTTCATTCCCTCCTTTTCCCCACTGTCACTCTTTTTTGTTTCCTGTTTCTTCAGTGTTACCCTTATTCTTTATTTAATCGTGCTTCTCATTTCTCTTGCCAATATTTTTCCTACCTCATAAGAATACTTCTGTTAACTAATTTAAGCATGAACTTTGTTAAATCGGAAAGCAGCAGTGAATGTATTGATGGGTCTGAACTCTGTAAATTTTGACTCTCACGCAAAAGTACAAAGGATTTCAGCACTATGCTATCTGGATACTACTCTGCCTGGAAGGCAGGCACCTAAGACCCAAGGGCCTTCTTCGTCGGCTTGAATGAGCTTTCATATCAGCCTCTTTGTCTTCTTTCATCCGTTACATGCACATGTGAACCAGAGTAGTGGTAAATAGAAAATACTGTTACCCAGCCATCATAGCATGACAGTTTGTAAATTAAGGTATGTGTATAACCCATCAACTATGTAAGGTGGCCTTGACAAAAGGATGTGAAAAATACTGTTGAAGAGAGTAAATTTCAGTAAAGCTAAATAAAACGTGATGTCATTTTAGAGTCAGATAAATTGTAGAATAAAGAGAAATTTTAATAATTTTGCTTAAATTGAGGAAAAGATGAAAAATTAGAGGGATGCCAGTCTGGGTGTATGGAAATAATTTATAATTTTATAATTCTAGATATGAAAATAGAGATAATGACTTTTTAAACAGTCTTCCCATGTTTGAGTTTATTCCTTCTTGAATGTTTACCTTAGAATACTTAAAAATTGATTACTTTCTGTATACCAGATGCAGTAATAGTTGTTATTTCAGAATTTCTTCTGGGGGTGGGGTGCTTTTAGAGCCAGTTTATGAGCACAAAAAATACTTTTACAGTATTCACTTTGGATGGGCAAAAAGACTTACCTCTCATTATCCTCTGTACCTGAGAGTGAATGTCTTTAGGTTCTTTCTGATGACTAGATTTCTTCTTACAGAAAGTAGATTTGCAAATGTGAAATCTATTCTGATGATTATCAGATTCCTGAGTAAAGGCACAAAGCTAGGAATTCTGAGAGTGTGAATTCATTTGTGGTCTTAGCTCTCAGTGGGGTCATGCTCTGTTAGGGAAGGTAAGACACATCTCAAAACTACCGTAGCATGTAGACAATAAAGGGCACTCATGGTGCTGGGGGAGTTAGGAGAACTCTAGGTTATGGAAGGATTGTGTCTTTTTCGTTTGTTTTTGTTTTTTTCTAAACAGTTAAATTTTGTAAGCATGCTGCTTACATTAAACATTTTAAAATTTCATTGTTTTCAAGTAGATACAGTCATAAACTAAACATGAAATAAGCTTTGCCTAGGAGAAGCCCTAGAGCAATTTCTTTTAATTATTAGATAATAACATTTCAATAAATGAGTGCCTCTCAGAAAAATCAGAGATGATTAAGGCAAGATCCTTACCCTAAAGAACTTAATCTAATAGAAATTTGAATTATTTGCTTTTAGCATATCAAATGTTATACTTTTCTGGAGTAGTTTAAATATTTACTCTAATTTTACTTGTACTGTTAATTTGCTCAGTAAACCTTTTCTTCATGGATAATACAATGTAAATTTCAGACATTTTAAATTAACACATTTTTATTTTTGAAATTTTAAAGCTCTTTTAAATGAAGGTGCTCTTCCCTATAACCTTGCGTTTTGAAAATGACTTTAAACACAATTCTAGAATGAGGCCACTGAAAGAGAGTTGGTCTGTTCAAGGAGACACAATATCTTTGAAATTTTAAAGCTCTTTTAAATGAAGGTGCTCTTCCCTATAACCTTGCGTTTTGAAAATGACTTTAAACACAATTCTAGAATGAGGCCACTGAAAGAGAGTTGGTCTGTTCAAGGAGAGACAATATCTTAAGGGGGTTATTTTTTTCTTTTTTTTTTTTTTTTTTTGCAATTATGGGTTATTGAACCCAGAACTTTGCATATGGTAGGAAAGTGCACTTACCACTGAGCTACATCCCCAGCCCTATTTTTCCTTATTACTATCAAGTTTTGTAGTACTCTTTCCTGTAGGTCTTACTGTTTGTACATTCTTAGTGTCTAATGCCCAGCTCCTAGAAGTTGCTGAATAAATATTTTAAATATAAAAATAAAAAAATAATTTCATTATCTGTGTCTTTTGATTCTTACCATTTCTCAAGTCTTTGAAAACACTCCTGTAGACTACTTATCTACTCATTGCTTTCCATTTCTTTTGCTTGATTTTACAAACTGTTTTCCTTAGATCAGAATCAAGCATTGCGACTCTGTCTGGGGAGCACTAGTGTTGGAGGTCAGTATGGAGCCATCTCTGCTCTCAGTATCAACAATGACTGCTCAAGACTGCTCTGTGGCTTTGCTAAAGGACAGGTGAGGTGTAAACATTGTTTCATTCATGAAATCGTGTTAAAATCAAGTTTTAAAAACTAATATCTTCAGAGCAGTAATTTGAAAACCAAAATAGGTTATGAAATGATACACCAGTAGAGGTAAACTGAGGTTACTCATCTGAGTCTCGTGTTGTTCACATTTTTAAATAATTGTTACTGACCGATCTAAAGTTTGTAGTTTTTATAATTTTATAAGTCGTGTGTCTATTTTAGTATCGGTTTTATAAACCAAAGAGGTGATATATAAAATATATCTCCTTAGAGTAATAATACATAATTTTGGCTGCTGTTTAGATGTACTATGTTCTTTCTGGATTCCTAACTGTTGTGTTCCTTGATGACTATTTTGATGTTTCTTGCTTTCCACTTGTAAACTGGTACTAGGTTATTGTTTTTCCCATCTCCTGATGTGTGCATCACTAGCTGGTTTGACAGTAAGCCTTTCCTAATTTTCTAAACAGGTTGACTTATTAGAGAAGTTTCTTTTACCTCTCAGTATGAGACTAACACTTAAAAATCTAAAGGGAAAGTGGGTCGGTCAGGATAAGGGATTGTTGAAGATGGAAAAAAGGCTCCATGCTTTAATGAACCTGCAATCTTTAGGTATATTTTAATTTTATAGTTCTTTGCCTGCAATGTGTATAGATGAGGAATAGATTATTTCAGCCAGAATGCAGAATACTTAAGTCTAAAAAAGAGCAATAAATTTGTTTTTAAAGCACTTAGTTGTCTTATAGATTACCATGTGGGATTTGGCCAGTGGAAAACTTCTCAGATCAATAACAGATGCTCATCCTCCAGGAACAGCAATATTGCACATCAAGGTAACAGCTTTGCTTTCTTCTGCTAATAATCTTCATAATCGTGGCTTTGAAACCACTTTAAAGTAGATTTACCTACATTAAAAGTCAGAAGTCCCCAAAATATATTTGGTATGAAGTTGAACATTATTTGGCAGCCCGATAAGGTATTTTCCCAGGTTTAAACCAGAGATGGGCTAATATGGAAATATTCAACTTCAGCTTATATCAAAGACTAATTCATGTAGCAGAGAAAGGGCAAATTGATGTGATCCTAGACTAGTGGTTGGTAACAAAGACAGGCAGCACCCTGCTGAAAATGCATATGGAGATTTAAAAAAATCTTTTTAACCTTGTTAGTCCACCAAGGTTTTATTGCTAAGGGGGTGTGCTTGGTCACCCTTTGTTGGGAATTGCCTGATGTACAATGTACCAACTGTGAAAGAACCAGAATTTGGATTATGTTTAGAAATGAATCTGTTGGTTTATTTTCTTTTAGGCCTCTTTAGGGAAAGTTTTAAGATCCTGGTCTTGGTTTTCTCCTTCCAGGTCTGAAAAAAATAAACCAACTTAGGTAATAGACTTCATTTATATCCAAGTGAACCTTGGGTCTTACATGTTGGCAAGCCCATGTTCAGAAGCATAAAAGGACTATAACTAGGGAAGTTTAAAATCAGATCTTCTAGATTTAATCAAGTACATATTTTGTTGCTTAGCTGTGCACAGCTCTCTTACCATACACATGCTTTTTAAAGCCTGCAAGCATCTGGAGTTTATATGTCTGCATCTAGGTTAGTTACTAAAAAGTCTTTTGTGACAAAGCAGTATTGAACCATTTAGTAAGAACAACGAAAACAACCAAGACAAGTAAAAGTAGAGAGAATTTCTCTTCTTTCAGTATGTGATGGTAATTTATCTTGACCATTATCAACTTCTAATATATTATAGTTGTTTATGTATATGTCTTATCTCTCTTAAGATCTTTGAAATTAGAATCTATCATTTATTTTTGTGTTTTACCCATAGTGACTTCTCAGTAAATGCTTGACTGAAGGAATAACTCGGTGGTATTTATAAATGGCCAATGCATTTGCCAAACGATGAAATTACTGGAGAGATAATAAAATAAATGATAAAGGCAGAGAGAAAAGAGAAAGATGCATGTGACATTAAAAGCATAGTGTTTGGGAGCCGTTGTGTTATTTGGGAACAGTGATGAAAGTAGTCGGTGCAGTTACTGATATGAGAGAGGAGACAAATGTATTTCACCACTATTTATTTTTATTTATTTATTTGTTGATACCGGGGATCGAACTCAGGTCCTTGCACTTGCAAGGCAGGAGGCGGAACCACCGAGCTAAATCCCTGGCCCTGAGATAGATGTGATTGAATACTTTTGAAGTCTTGTATTGATGGGGGCCGCTTGCACTTCAGTATTTTTTTAAAAGTTCTATTGAATCTTTTTTTATTCATGCATGTTTGTAGTACATAATAAATATATTCATCACAGGGAGTTGGCACATGTACCTCACTCATCTTAACTCTAACTCCCTTTCCTTCTTTATTTTCTCAAAATTTTACCCTATCTCCCATCAGTAATAGTTTGGGCTTGCATACTTTATATATGTGTGTGCATGTGTATGTGTTTGTGTGTGTCTGTGTACATGTGTGTAATTATATAAATGCACTATTGTACTAATTTTAAGCATATTAAAAAACATATATACAAAAAGTAAAAAATTAAAAAGAAAAACAAATTCTCCTGTTTTCCTGCACTCCTATGGACCATTACATGCATATGCCTAGGCAACTGGTTTTCTAGGATCAAGGAAGAAGAATTGCGCCTCCTGTATTTTAACCACCTCTGAATAAAAACATTTGGGCTTGGGGATACTAGTCATTGTAAATTATGTTAGATATGTTTTTTCATTTTGTGTCCTGTAACACCTCATATGTATGTATCATTGTAGATATTTATTCTGAGTTTTTCAGGTTAGGTAATAATAATAATAGAGATATATTCTGTTGAAGAAGATCAAGGACAGCACATTTCAGGAAGAGTTATATAAAATGTTACAAAGATGTTTCATATTTGTGTATTTGTATGTTAATTTTTCAGTTATTCAGAAAACTCATTCAGACTGGTTTATTTCCCAGTGCTATCAAGTGACTTTTACAGTGTCCTTATTCTAGAAAACTAGGCAATTCCAAGTATATACAGATGTTCCTGTTTGTTTAAGAGCAAGTTAGAAAAATCTTAATTTAAGGACCCAAGTAGGAAATTTCAGGGTTTTTAGCAACTATAGTTTGTATTTTTATTTTATTCTGATGAAAGGTAGTTTTATCTTTTGAAAGCCTCATTTTTTAAGGAAGATATTGAGCCATTTTTATCCAAAATAAGGATTATTTTATATGTTGAAGAGATGAGCTAAATCTAGTTTAGGTTATTTCAAATGCTAGATATGTATCTTGTAGGCAACTTAATACTTGACTGGTTGTTTAAAAATCTACAAGAAAAATAAATTCTGTCTCTGTTTAGTTTACAGATGATCCAACTCTTGCAATTTGCAATGACAGCGGAGGCTCTGTTTTTGAATTGACATTTAAGTAAGAGATTAATGGATATTTGTTGACAAATGAAAAGACTTGCTTTGGTTAATGATTTGAAATTGAACATGAAAAGGTCTGGAAAGTGGGTGTGATTGAAAATAGGTTATGGTTATATATTACAGTTACCTGGGGAGGCTGGCAGACCATGTGGAGTTCTAGGCCTGGTTCCCCACAATTTTATCTCAGTGGGTCTGAATCAGACGTCTAGAAATGTATCCTCCAGAGGATTCTTATGTGCTGTTAAGCTTAGGTAATGCTATTTTGGAGTAGCTCGCTAATTTTGGTTTAGGCCCCAGGCCAAGTTGATTATTACCAAAATGGCCAGGTGTAAAAAGGTTTTTATTGCCTTAGAATTGCCTTGATAACTCTTTTAAATAAGAGCAAAGACTGAGAATATGGAGGAACATATATGGAGCTGAGGTTTTTAAAAAGGCAAACATAATATTCAGTGTGTATTATATTTCTATAAATTTTTTCAAGGCTAACGCCTATATTTCTTATATTTCTTACAGCTTTCTAAATACTGAGCTCAAAGTAATTGCTGAAAAAATATACTGTTTGTTCACCTAATGTTTACCAAGCATATTGTATGAGTAGGTGTATATGTAGATACCAGAGTTACAGCTATGAACTAGGCAAGGTTCCTACTCTATAAGAACTTGCATTCTAGTTGGGGTGAGGGTAGAGAGACAGGAAATAAACCAACATGTAAATAAAATAATTTCAGGTAGATGTGAGTGCCGTGAAGAAAGTAAGATAGGTCAGTGTCCTGGAACACACTTCAGCATAACTCAGAAGGGCCTCTCTCAAGAGATAACATTTGAAGAAAGACCTGAATGATGAGCTGGCCAAGACATGTAGAGATGTGGAGGCAGTGTCCCAGGCCAAGGAGCATTCGAATACAAAGGTTTTAGGTGGACATAAGTTTGGACCCTGGAGTCTGTCAGAAACTACAGCAATGGGAGAGGAGTGAAGGCAAGAGCCAGATCACACAGGACCTTTGAAGATGTAGATAAAGAGGTTGGAATTTATTTTATGTACAGTGGCATTTTTTGCCAGCGAAGGATTTTTAATAGAAGAGTGGTAAATCAGACCCATATAGTAGAAAGATCATGCTGCTATAATGTGGAGTTTGGGTTGTTAAAGAGACAAAAGTAGGAGCTGGGAGGCTGGTGTAGGAGGACAGGCTAGAGATACTAGTGCTTGAAATCATTGCTGAATTATTCTGAATGTCTGGTTACATTTTTAGGAGAGTGATGGGAGTGAGAACTTGTGAATCTAGATGTCTGTTCAGTGGTTCCAAGGGAGAAGTTTGCTGTATTGAGCCTCTACATTCTAAGCCTGAATTGAAAGATCATCCCATCACGCAGTTTTCATTATTGGCCATGGCATCCTTAACAAAGGTAGGCATATTTAGAGGCTGACACTCATAGCTCTTAGAGGCTCTGAGCACAAACAGTTTGAAAATTACAAGGTAAATATTGAATATAGTATTTTTTTTCCTAAAGATACTGGTCATTGGATTGAAACCATCCTTGAAAGTGTGGATGACTTTTCCCTATGGACGTGTGAGTATGCTTCTCCATCTTGTTAGCAGACGAAGGACTATGTCAGGAGGTTGGGGAACATGACTTGTAAGAGCAAATTCTATGAGACTGTCAAAAATCTAGGTAAAATGGAAGTCATTAGTGTGCTCCAGTGATGATTGTTTAGACTTACCTTAAGCTGACCAAAGCAGGATAAGCTGATGACTGTGAGTCATGAGATCTTATATTTTTCTGCTTTTATTACTTTAAGCGTATATCTAGCTGTTGTTTTTAACCTTAATTTGACAGTCTCTGTGTATTGCATCTTGGTGCTTTGTGGACATACCTAATCTCTTTGCATGGTTTTCCTAGCCTAATCTTTGCCCCTTTGAGGGCAGTAATATTCTCTTACTGGATTTAAAGCTGAAGAATAGGATGATGTATTGAGTCCCAGCCTCGATTTTCAATGTTTAAAGGATATTTGTTTTTGTATGATGGCCATGCTGAGGCAGACTATACTCTCTATGGCAGTGACACTGAACTATTAATCGAGTACACTTCACTGTCCTATCCAATATATATTGCTCCTACATAGGCTTCCCTTGGCTTCTGCCTCTGATACTTCTCAGAATGTACATTTGCCCCAGCTCTCTCTCTAGTTTTTGCTTTCATGGATTCAGCCAATGATAAATCAAAAATATTCAGAAAAAAAGCAGGAAGATAGCAAGTTCAAGCCTAGGCTGGGCGACTTAGTGACTCAGTGATACTCTGGGGAGGGCGGTGGAGAAAGTGCACATGAGAGAGATAAGATAAAGGAAAGGAATGGAATAAAAGGCCCTGGATTCAGTCCCCAGTACTTTAAACAATCAAATCAAGCCTTAACTCAAACCAAAACATTACATCTATACTGAACTTATGCAGACTTAAGTGTAATCATTCTAACTAATGTAGTAGAACTATTTATGTTTGAATTATATTAAGTATCATAAGTAGTCTAGATGATTTGAAGCATTTAGGAGAATATGCATGTGTCATATGCAAATTTTATGCCATTTTATTAAGGGACTCGAGCATTATGGACTTTGATAGTCAAGACAATAAGATACCAAGGCAACTGTATTATTCAGACCCCAGGGCCCCCTTTCTTTTCTGCTTGTCTTCTTCTACTCTGTATATGAGGAAAGGTACTGGTGGGATGGCTTGGAGGGTGGTGGTACACAATGTGGGCTATTCCAGAAAGCAGAGAGATTGTTCTTATTTTCTTATTGGTACCCTGTAAATCTTTGGGCACAAGGGAGGGAAAGCATTTCTGTCCTTTAAGTGGCAAAGCTGGCTCAGATTTCCACTAACATTTTCTAGTTTAGCTTCCTTGGCTAATTGAGGTTTTTATCATGGTGGTGTATTTGCATCTTTTCATATGTTTTACTAGTATTTTTTCTCAATATTTTTAAGGAACATTTTCAAACAAATAGAGAAGTCAAAAGGATGTTTTCATTGAATACCTCCATCTAAATTCTACTGTTCCCATTTTACAGTATTTATTACGTATGTGTGCATCTGTTCATCTCTTCATCCACTCATCAAACTACATATTTTAGATTTTTGTGTTTTAGAATAAGTTGCAGAAATGAATGCTTTTCCCCCAAGTGTTTAGCATGCATGTCATCATCTGTAGTTTAATATTTGCTTCGAGTTTTTTGGTGTAAACTTTATATACAAAAATACACAAATCTTGAGTGTACATTTACTGAACTTTGGCAGATGCTGATGATAGTTTTGTAGCCCAAACCCTTATCGAGATACAGTGTTATCATCAACCTAGAAAGTTCTCTCACAACACTTTCCAGTCAGTCCTTGCTTTGTTGGAATCTTTAGGAGAAACTGGGAAAGGTTTTATCAAGGAGCACCAATCATAAGGTGTTTCTGAACAGTTTTTGCTTTGTCTTTCTCTTACTGTGATAAGGTTTTTTTCCTTCTTCTCTTTTAGATGGATCCTTCCAGTGTTCCATTGCTGGCCTGGCATTTTGTAGCAGTGCATAATTATGTGAACCCCATGCTTGCTTTCTGCAGAGGAGATGTTGTTCATTTTCTTTTGGTAAGTTCTAATATGATGGTGGGTCTGCTACAAAGTCTTGTATCATAGCATCTGTTTTTTATGACTTATCAGTAATAGAATATTATGCCAAAGAAATCTATTTTACTATCATAAGCCTTTGGAGATAGAATATTTAATTTTTTTTAAGATTTTAATGGTTGACATGGTAAAAACTGATCTCCTTTAGCTCCATAATCCTTCATAATTTCTTAATTCCTTCTCCTTTGGACTAATAATGATTTATTCATGTACAAACATGAATGTGAACATATTTGTGTTGATGCTATCTACATATGTATCTGTATATTAGGGAACTCTTATCATTGTACATCTACTTCATTCTCTACAGCTTGACAGGAACAAAAAGTGAATAAAGGAAGTATAAAACATTTCTTCTTTCACAGTTTATGCTGTTGTTTGAAAGGTAAAACTAGCATGTTTGTGACTATCAGGGAGAACAGTTGAAACATTGATCTATAGGATGAGAATTAAAAATTGAATTAAATTAGAGAGCAGAGAGATAAGAATGCTCTAGAGAGGCCCTGGAAATTTCATAAGATTTGTAGGAAAGAAGATGAACTGAAGTGACTAAGAGCATGCCTGTGTAATCTGGTCTCGGGTTCCTAGCTCGGGGAAGCAAGTCTCCTCAGCTTACCCTGTTTCTGCAGCCGGAAACCAGGGTGTTGTCTTTCCGTCACCTTTCTCCCTTCGGTTGTATTGCATCACCAAATCCTGTTGACTTAATCTTCAAAATCTCTTGACTCTCTTCCTTTTTGTTTTTCTTTTGCTGCTTTCCCATCTAAAGTTCTTATGTTATTGGGCTAGATGCTGTGGCAGCTTCCCAAGTCGTCTCTGGCCTCAGTGTTTTGTGTATGCTATCATCTCTGTCAGGAAAGCTCTGTGATCTTCTTCTACACTTCAGCTTAGCTCATGGTTAGCACTTTCTTTTGTGATCCTCTGAACTAAGTTATTACTTCCTATTATATACTCCCATAAGACTTTTTAAAAAATATATTCAGCACTTTTAAAATTTGACTTATATTTTTCTTCCTTATTCGGTTGAGAGCTCCATAAATCTAGAGACCAACTATACCACTCTATTTCTAGTCACTAAGATAGCATCTATATATAGTAAATGCTTAAATGTTTATAGAATTAATGACAGGAGAAATCTATGGTAGAACATAAAAATCGAGTATATGAGGTGGATCTAGAGTAGTCGCTGGCAAACTGTAACTCATCAGCCAAATGTGGCTAGTCACTTGTTTTTATAAATAAATTTTTGTTGGAATTTCTACTAAATTTCATCTATAAATTTCATTTATATATTTTTGTTACTTGCAGTGGTAAAGTTGCGTAGATGTGATAGTGTATGGTCTGCAGAGCCTAAAATGTTTATTCTGTGGATATGTCAACCATTGATATAAAATTTAGCCTAGATTGGTAATTGGGCACCATCACAGGTTCTTATGTGATTAAAATGATAAAGATATGATTAAATGATATTTTGGGAGGATCAATCTAGAAGTAGCAAACAGAAATGATTATAGAAGGAAGAGGGAAATTGAAGGTTTTGCTCTTAAAGCAGGTGTGAGGCACTTAAACAAAGATGGCTGGTTGTAGTAGGTGAAGGACATGAATAAAACATACTATTGCATTTTAGAATAAAAAATATTCAAAGGGAGATAGATAGTCTGGGAAGAAAATGATGAAGAGGTTATGGGAGCAGCTCAGTGGTAGAGTGCTTGCCTAGCTTATACAAGGCCCTAGGTCTCATCCCCTGGACTATAAAACAACAACAAAGAAAGAAACCTAGGAAAGATTGAGTTGAGTTTGTTGAGATGAAAGTGAAGCTGAGACTCTTGGCTGTTCTATCAAGGATGTCTTGTGAGTAGATGGCAGGTCCGAAGTACAAATGAGAATTTCAGGATAGGGAAAGTAGCTGAAGCTCTGAAAAATCAAAAGCTAGACACACATGATATGTGGGCCAGTGTTATGTGACTGTTAACAAAATAACTGAGGTAATCAACTTAAAGAGGGCAAGTTGATTTTTGGCTCACAGTTTTGGGTGTTTCAGTCCATGGTCCTTTGGCCACATGGCTTTTGGTCTTGTGAGGCAGCTCATCATGAGGGTAGTTGTGGTGACCAGAGGTGTTACCTTAGGGTGGCTGGGAAGCGAAGTGAAAGAGAAAGGTGCTGGGGGTCCCAGTATCCTCTTCAAGTGCAAGCCCCTCACCCAGCATCCTAACTTCCTCCCTTGAACACCCCACCCCTGGAGATTAAACCAGTGCCTCCACTGAGCTACATCGCCATCCTTTGTTTTGCTTTTTATTTTTGAGGCAGGGTCTGGCTAAGTCACTAAGTTGGCTATACTCAAACCTGTGGTCTTCCTGCCTTAGCCTCCCAGAGAGCTTGAAGATTTCACCACCTCCTAATAGTGATGGCCAAGCCTTTAATGCATAGGCCTCTGGGGGACATTTATTCAAACCATAGCACATGACCTTGGTGAACACTTATGCAAAGGAGAGGATAAAGAAGAGGAAACAGGAAAGGCACAGAGAGGTAGCAGGGGAAATGGGACAATATAGCCTCCCACAGAAGGAGAGCCTTCAGGTCAGTATCAGTTTTAAGGTCATGCCCATAGTAGAGGAAGATCAAGAAAGAAGAAGACTGAATAGAAGATAACTGTATTTAGCAAGAAGTTGTCCTTTAGAACCTTTTTAGATGACTATCAGTGGACTGGGAGTAGAAACTAGGTTGTAGAGCCTTGTTAAAGAACGAGTTCTCCAGATGAACAGACTTACACAGTCAGTGTTTGGTTATAAGAGGAAGAAGTATGGTTGTATATTATTAGAGACCTCACACCCTGTCCAGTACATGCTGCAGGCCTGAGAAATAAATACACTGAGACAGAACTAAGAGAGAGAAAGCAGGGTGCCAGGATGACCAATGCCAGTACAACTGACAAAGGTCCTGGCCAGTCTCAGGCACTGACTTTTATTGGCAATCAATTGGGATAAAGGCAAGCTACATGCAGTTTCTATGGAAATTAATGTAAACAAGGCTCATAAAGGACATGACAAAGCATTCTCGAATTTGTGACAGAATAGACAAAATATATGGTTGTAATTAGAAAATTTTACTTCTAGTCAGACGTTTTTATTTGTGGAAATGGAATTTGGGTGTGAGTTACTCTGACCTCTGCATGTAGACTTCAGCTGGACTTGCTTTTCAAAACAAGCAAATTGTGCGGTTAATTCTTCACACCCTGCTTTGGGCATAATCAGTGTTACAGTCCCCTGCAGTTAAATAGTGTCTATAAGAAATAAATTAAGGAAGGCTTTTTGGGGGGAGTTTTTTGGATTTTGTTTTTATTTTGAAGACAGAATTCAGAAACACATTTGAGAGCAAAAGGAAAAGGGCCTTTCATACGAGAGACTGAATATGCCAGCAGAGGAGAGGCAACGTGGTGGAGGGGGAGGAATTAGAATTTATATAGGTGAAGTGATTTTAAGGATTTTAGAAAATCTTAGGGGAATAGGTAATATTGGCATTGATCTTCCAAGTTTATGAAACACTTTCGACATATGCAGCATATGAGACAATTTGGTATTGACTTGTTTTCATTTTACAGATGTGGAAACTGAGAAAGAGTAAGTGATTGCCCTTGATCACACAGCTGTAACAGTGGAACTTACACTTAAACACATGGCTCTGGATCTTATGTTCATTTACCAGAGCATCCTTTCTTGTGGGGCAAGTGATTTAGTAAGACGGCACTATATGAAGGGCCCACATGAAACGGTCTCAGCTTTTCATTAAGGTGTCCGGCGAGGTTACTGCAAGTGAAGGCATTGGGTGGCAGAGTGGACTTGAGACTTAAAGATACCGAGCACACTGCTGCAGGGAGCCTGCGAGGAAACACAGGCTGAATGGAATGTGATGAATTTCAGGTGGCCAGGTGTATCTTGTGCTTTATCTTTCTCCTTCAGTGTGTTATTACCTTGGAGCAGAAGTGGAGAAAGTAGATTACAGGGATGATTGAGCATTATAGAGTGTGTCTGTACACACATACAAATAAAATACTAACAGTCGAGATTGGGGGGTGAAATTTTGGATTATGTGAACTATAATACTGTCATAGTCCTGAGAAGTCTAGTTTTGTCACTAAAGCTGCTATTTCTCTTCCTCCTCTTCCTCTTTCTCTCCCTTCTTTCCATTTTTAATGAACGTTTGTTTGGCGTATCATACCATGTCATCAATCCCATTTTATACTCTAGCTCAGTATAACTATTGATACGGTGGAGTTAGGTTGTTTTGAATTATGACAGAGTAAAAAATTATATCATAGCATTTGCCAATACTAACAAATAGACCACTAGCCAGACATGCTGTGATTTTTGGTACAGATCATGAAGAAAATGATATTTTTCACTTATGAAATAGTTTCTCGATCAGTATTTTTGTTTTACCTACATTGAATGGGGAATCATACTTTACCTAGGTAGAATATAATGAAATATTTTTAAAAGTCTTTCAAGCAATAACTGATGCTTTGGTTGTTTTCAATTCATCATCAGGTTAAGAGAGATGAATCTGGAGCAATACATGTTACTAAGCAAAAGTATCTTCACCTGTACTATGATCTCATCAACTTTACTGTGAGTATTGTTCAAATTAAATGTCCCAGGTAATTTCATGCAGTTGTTCTGTGTATTAAAGCTATCAGAACTATTGCCATGAACTGTGTGCATTAAGTCCATATGAATATAAACAAAAGTGAAGTCCTGCTTATATTGAATAAGGTCTGAGTTTGTTATCATGCCACATCATTAATGCCTTTTGGCTCGAAGTTCTTCTGAACACTGACAGGATTAGGCAGTTTTCTTTAATCTCTCGATTATCTGAAAGTGGTTTGGGTTCAGAAGAATTTAGGTGGGTTTATTTAGGATCATTTACCTATGATTTCTGGAAACATGTTTATGTACTTATAAACTTGTCCTGATGGGTTCAGGACTTATATTACCAGTTCTTTTCTTTCTTTCTTGGTACCAGGCATCGAACGTGGGCCCTTGTGCTTACAAGGCAGGAGGCAGAACCACTGAGCTAAATCCCTGGCCCAGCAGTTGTTTTCTTATGACAAAATCTTTGCTGAGTTCAATCTCTACTTTACGTCTCTGTCTTGAGTGACATCTTGGTTTAAAAATAAAAGTTTTCTTTCATTTTGTATCAGAGATTTCCTTTTTTCAAACAGTGTGTTAATTTTGAGAGTAGTGTAATTATAGTATTTCTGGGTTTCCATCATTACTGTTTTTAGTATCCAGTATCACCTTAAATATAAGGCAACCCTAAATATAAAGAAATGGCTCATTTTTTCACTAAAAAGACTAAAAAGATTATTCTTCCCTTCCAACTTGATAATATATAATTTTTCAGGTTATGTATATTTTATTTATAATATGTGATTTACTAATTTAGTTGCACTTTTTTTTTTTTTTTTTTTTTTTTTGGTGAGACAAGGTCTTGCTATGTTGCATAATCTAGTCCTGAACTCTTGGGCTCCAGGGAACCCTGCACCTTAGCCTCCTGAGTTCTGGGTCTACAGACTTGTACCACCATGCCCATCCCATGTTACATTTTTAAATTCACTTGTAGGCTATTGATTTAGAAACACAGGTTGAGCATCTTACAAGAACACGAACAATATTATTACTTCATGAAACATGTATGGAAAAAACATCACAGGTTAAATAAATGTCCCTTATCAAGAATGCTTGGTATCGGAAAAATCAGAATATCTGAAAACTGAAATACTCAAATCCAATTTTTTTGTGCACCAACATGCCGTAAGTGGGAAATTTCACACCCAACATCATATGATGGATTTTATCAGATGGACTCCAAATACTGAATAAAATTACCCTCAGCCTATGTGTATATGAAACAAATTAATTTTGTGTTTAAATTGGGTCCTTTTACATGATATCTTATTATATGTATGTATGCATATATATATATATTTTTTTTTTTTCTTTTTCAGAATCAGAGCACTTCAAGTCCCAAGTATTCCAGATAAGGAATACTTAACCTATGACATTTTTTCATACATATTTCATGAAGTAATGTTTTGAATCATCTATTAGTTTTCCAGTAATCATCATCACTTCTGTTTGAGATGAATATTTGAAAATACAGTACATTTAAAATCTGTATATCACTGGAAAATTTTTCCACAATCATAAGTAGCCATTGTCCTAACAGTAGGAAAGTTGGTGTTTTCATTTGTCCTTTGGCCAGCATTTGTGATGCAACCATTAGCTATGTGTTTTATAAATTACCTTTGTGAAGATTTGTTTATAAGTGCATCAAGCATCAACACTTGTGATTTTGAGGATCTAATCTCAGGAATAATTACTCACTTTTCTTTTTCTTTCTTTCTTTCTTTTTTTTTGCCTTTAAGGATAAACTTCATTCTAATCTCATGTCATATTAGCAAGCTTCCCAATTCAAACAGAAAAATAGTGAAATGTTTAACAGGACAGACAAGGCAAAGATTTAGAATCAAATTAAAAATCCCAAAGGAGTTACTGCTAACAAAGCCGTTATCCTGAGTAGCATCATGTAATGGACTTCACTATGTTTTTCTATTTTATGTAAACATTATACTGGAAAGATACCAGTAGTTTTTCTTTGGAAATATGAATAATGTGTTAACAAATTGTTTAATGTAATAAATCCTCCCAGCTGATTAGAAACATAAAAATAATAAAAAGCAGAGGAAAGATCTCAAATCCATAAATAGAGAAATCATACTATACAGATATATTTTATTTTCAACAATTTTCAAAAGTGACAGCTTCCTGTGGTGACATGCTTCCAGCTTCTTCTAGTACTCTTGGTCTCGGTAACATGCTACTTGTCTACACCTGTGGGTTTTCAGTGAAACCAAGGTCACCTCCAAACCCCTCCTCTTTAGATGCAGTATCATTCAGTGACAGGATGTGAAGATCTTTCCCCACTCTTTGGAATGCAGTTTCAAATAGCCTTATCCAACTTGGGTATGACGTTCCAGACATCCTCGGGGTTCATTGTCTCTTTCATACCATTTGAAAGATTCAGAACCTTTGTGCCTTCTTCATCTATTTCCAAAATCTCACATTTAGACCATGTGTCTCTTAGACTTGACCTTGCAACATATTTGGATCCAACAGTAAGTCTTTCAGAATGTAGATGTTCTGCGGTTGAGCTGAGCCATTCTCTGGTAAATAGAATTGTGTTTCCTTCCATCTCTGGATTCTTCTTCAGAGAACAAAGGTATCAACAATGAAATTGGCCTGCCTGTTTTTATATTCTGGGACGTTTTCAAATAGATTTATTTCTGTTTGCATCTTGGGGTCATGATTTTCCCTGTGCAGATGCAGAAGAACCCTGTGCTGGTCATTTAAAGGGTTCTCCCAGACTGCCTTTCTCATGTCTTCAGCACACCCAGGCTCTTGGGCTTTCTCACTGACTGTTACGGATGAGGAACTGATGTCGTCAGGAGACAGCTGGGCTGTGGGAAGTTGTAGTTCTGCCTGTGTCTTGGCTTCACAGTTGTGGGGAAGCTGCACTATAAATGGTCCCAGGGTGGCTCAGTGCCACAGCAGAGTGGCATAATTGGTCACTCCAGGCCTAAGTCCTCCTTTATTTCATCCCCAACTAGAGTGCTGTAAGTCAGTGGATTCTAATTCAGAGAATTCTTTTGATTCTTCATCAGAGGAAAGTGGAACCCCAAAGAAACTGTGTACTAAGATCTCTGTTGTTTCACTGGTGTGTGGCAATAATATAATTAGGAATTCATTGTTAAACTGGGCTTGGTCAACCAAATGGCTCTCTTTTGTACCTTCAAGTACTCAGAACCAATTCCACCTTCACATGGGTTTTGAAGAGCTTAAAAAATGTTATCTGTTCCAAGGTTATAGGATTTACTTGGTTTGGATTTGGTAATGTTTAAATCTTCCTCTGTTCTTTCAGAGAGCTCATTTGTTTGTGGTTCTGCATATGATGCTTTATCTTTTACAGCTTTATTACTTGGTTTCTTAAGTCCAGCATCGGAACTGGAGGTTTGAAGGCTTTCTAGATCTCTGGCCCATCTTTTTCATAAAGCACATAGCTTTGGACAATACTATCTTAGAATATTTTTTTATTTTCTCATGAATATTTTCACCTTTGCTTCTCAAATCATTTTTATTTATTTATTTTGTTTTTTTTTTGTTTTTTTCCAAGACAGGGTCTTACCATGTAGTTCCTTGCACTCACTGTGTAGCCAAGGCTGGCCTTGAACTTGCAGCAATCTTCCTGCCTCAGCCTTCAGAGTGCTGGGATCATAAGTGTGAGCCATCACACCTAGCACACAGTTGTTTTAAAGCCTGGCATTATAGTTTTCTCTAGAATTAGAGGCAAATCTTTGTTATATGGGTCTCTTGTTCCCTCTGGAAAAGTGGCTTGCAATTTTGTGGCTTTCAAACATGGCTCAGCAAAAATGTCTTCTTTTCTCTCGTAAACAGAAAGTTATTTTTGTTTCCCACTGAGCCCTAATGTTGAGTAACGTAGTTTTGTCTTTGTTGAATTTTGTAAATATTTGAGCTAGTTTTATGGTGAGTTAATCTTAGGTTTGCATGATTCTTCCAAAATTTCTAAAAGTGTTTAATAGGTTGTTTCCTCATTTACTTAAATACTCCATAGGTGAAAACTTCACATTTTCTTTTTTCCTTTGAAAGTTTCAGTTGTAGAGAGGAGGGATTCATTTTCTCTTTTCCTTTATTCTAGTTTTGTAACTAAGCAGCCCTAAGTTTTTATTAATATTAGCATTGATTTGAATACAGTCATCATATAGCTCTATAATCAGTCAGTGTTCCATCTGGATCTTTTGCTACAACTAAGGCCTTCATTAATTTATCTAAAATCTCCTGAGGGCCGGGGATTTAGCTCAGTGGTTTGGTGGCCTACCTCACAAGCGCAAGGACCCGAGTTCAATCCTCGGTACCAAAAAAAAAAATCTCCTGAAAGCCATGTTATAACTTCCTCTGATATATGATTAGGAATATTAGGAATATCAGCCTGCATAAGCAAAAGTAAAATCTCATATACATCATGAGGTTTCAGAAGCAGATGAGCAAAGGAGACTTTAACTCTATTGTTTTTCTATTACTAGTTCCTAGTACCAGTTGCCATCAGTATACTTGGCAGTTCATAAGCTTCTAGGGATCAGGAAGATGTTTGTACACTGGGCAGAACTTTAATCAATCATGTAATATTACATGACAACTGTTCTAAAATATTCAAATTTCTTGTCAGCTTGCACTAAAATGTCCAGGGGTTATCAACGTGTTATGTACTTCTTCACTTCCAGTTTTCATATCATGTGTAGAATAGTGGTAGGAAGGTAGCTGAATAGAAGACTGCACAGGCTTCTGAAGTTTTAGCAGTCTTACAAGTCTCTTTTCTACCAAAACAGGGCATGCGCTCTGGAAGGGTGTCAGTAGATCTACGATGTAAACAATTCACTGTATTCTGAGGCCAAAGCAAATAATGTGCATTTTCATTCTAGATTGTTTTGCTATGCATTATGTGCTAATTCACTAAAAGCTCATATTACCTTTTCATCTCAAAGGGATTTTCACTAGTTGGCTGATTTAATCTATAAAGACTGCACCTGAAAGCCTGAGCCCTAATCTTGATAAACTTGTCCTTAGTTGAATAAATGTTATTCACAGATACCACAGCTTTGTTTCCATAATCTACAGATAATACTTTGATGTGTTCCTCACTCATCAGAGCTCTGGACCACTGTCCATTTGCTGCTTACTTTGCTAAACAAGCTGGGGAGACCCTGTAATGAGGGGCTGCTATGGCTTTGCAGTAGTCGTCATTGTCACACATTAGAATTCTAAATTCTTGTGTGTTCCTGGCCAGCTGATAGCAGAAATTGCCAGGGTTTAAAAAAAATTATGGAGTGCTTCTCAAATTCATGTGTCATCCTTGCACAGGGGCCATGCTAATCTCTGTATCATTACAATTTTAACATGTGTGCTGCCATTGTGAGCCCTAAGTTGTATCTGTGATTCTCTGTGTTTTAGCCAGGCAACTTTTGAAAGCACCTAAAAAAGCTAGCACTAATTTAAAGTTTTATAAAGTTAAAGTGCCCTTCCTAAATTATAATTTTGTTGTTCAGAATAATTGAGAGAAGACCTTGTAAGAGTTATTTGTAAACTATTTGTATATCCAATTCCCCATTTCTGAGTGAGATTTTGGAGGGGGAACCTTACATTGGCTGCTATATCGTTAGTTATAGAATATAACTGTAACATATGTTCGAAGAAAATTAACCTGTTTTAAATTTGGTTGGTATGGCATTATACAAATAATCTCTGATAACATGGACTAGGCCCTACAAATACTGTACCATGAATATCAGAGGAAGTGCAGGGGAAACACTTTGAATAATTTTAAGGGAGTTTTGGAAGGAAATACATTTTTTCATATGACTTCTATTTTAAAATATGTTATCACTTCAGTGCTAACAATCAGCCCTTGACCAGCTAGGCTTATGAGATTTCATTTGTCCTTTTGTGTCATTATTATAAAAAATAAAAATTTTGAGTTTGTCACTATGCTGAAGTTGTTTGTGCTGATGTGCCTTTTAAAAAGTCTTACAAAAATCCATATATCCTATAATATTTCAGTATAGCTCTTAGTCATCTCTTCACACTATCAAACTGTTATTTTAAAATTAATTAATTAATTTTGATTTTTTTGAGACTGGGTCTTGCTCTGTAGTTCACGCTGGCCTTGAACTCACTGTGGAGCCAAGGCTGGCCTCAAACTTGGAGGGATCTTCTGCCTCAACAAAAGAGTACTGTGATTACAGGCATGTGCCACCACACCCAGTTCAAAGTATCATTTTATTTATTTAAAAATTTTTAATTAATTTTATTGGTACATTTAAGGTATACAATGTAGTAACATTTATCAGTGGAAATTTGCACCTTTACATAATCCATCTTGGTTCTTATTCCCCTAGTTCCCCATTCCCCTGCCCTCCCTTCAACCCCTCCAGCCCTCCCTATCTACAAAGACTTAGTTTCCATTTTTTTTTCTTTTTCTCATGTTAATTCCATTCCCATCTTTCTTTTCCCCCACCCCTCCCATTTCCCCTTCTGCTTTGCACCTTTTCTTCCTATTTCAAATTATCTGTTATACCTTTTAGTCCTTATTTACACTTTCATTTTCTTACATTACAGAAACTATTCAGTATTTACATGTGTCCTGTTTATTTCACTTAAGAGTATCGCCTCAATGTGCATCCATTTAGCTATCAATGTCTCTAGTTTCTCATTCTTTATGGCTTATAAAAAAAACACATTTTCTTTATCCAGTCTCCAATTGATGGGCAATTCCTGCTATGAACATGGGTGCACGTATATCATTGTGGTATGATTCTTTGGGAAAGATACCCAGCAGAGGGATAGCAGGGTCAAATGGGACCTCTGATCCTAGTTCTTTGAAGTAACTCAATACTGATTTCCACTGGTTGCAGCAGTCTGCACTCCCACCAGCAGTGGAGCAGTGTTCCTCTTTCCCCACAGCCCAGCCAGCATTTGTCATTGGTTGATTTCATGATAGCAGCCATTCTTTCTGGGACAAGGTGAAATTTCAGTGTTGTTTTCATCTGCATCTTTCAAATGACCTGTGATGTTGAACATTTTTTCATATGTTTATTTGCTATTTCTACTGCTTTGTCTGAGCAACATCTGTTCACTTCAGATGCCCATTTTTGGATTTGGTCTTTAAATTTGGGAGGTCTGGTTTTTTAAAAGTTTTTTCATATATTCTAGATAGCAGACCTTTGTTTGAGGAAGAGCTGGTGAAAATTTTTTCCCACACTGTGGATTGTCTCTTCATTCTATTGGTTGTTTCTGTGCAGAAGCTTTTTAATAAAAAGAGATCCCTCTTATTGATTGTTTGTGCTAGTTCACGGGCAACTGACGTTTTGTTCATAAAATCTTCTCCTATACCAAGGTCTTCAAGAGTTCTACCTAACCTCTTTTCCAGCCAGTTTAGTGTTTCTGTTTTAATATTTAGATCCATTTTAGTTTAGTGCATGGTGAAAGATATAGGTTTAATTTTAATCTTTGGCAAGTGGAAACCCAGTTTTTATTAAAGAGGCCATCTTTCCTCCAGTGAGGGTGTTTGGCTCCTTTGTTAAAGATGAGGTGGCTGAGTGTTTCGGGACCTGTTTCTACATCTTCTAATCTGTTCCACAGGTCCTCAGGTTAGGGTTGGGGTTAGGGTTCAGTTTCCATGTATTTGCGAAATTCTTGCAGTTTCTTTTGCTATTGATCTCCAATTTCATCATATTGTGGTCTGATAATATACAGGGGATAATTTCAGTTCCTTTGCACTTACTTAAACATGTTCTATAAGTGAGTATGTGGTCTATTTTGGAGAACCATCCATGTGCGGCTGAAAATAATGTGTATTCTGATTTTGTGGGGTGGAACACTGTAAACATCTGTTAAGTTCATTTGTTCAGGAGTTTGATTTCTACTATTTCATTGTTTATTTTTTGTCTGGTTGATCTATCTGTTTGTGACAGTGGAGTATCGAGATATCCCACTACTATTATATTAGTGCTTAAATGATTTTTCATGTCTGTTAGTATTTGTTTTATGTAGTTGGGCACACTTGTGTTTGGCATGTATATATTTATGATTGCCATCTCTTCCTCTTGGATTATTCCCTTTACAAGGATGTAGTATCCTTTTTTGTCTCTCTTAATCAGTGTTGGTTTGAAACCTACTGGATCTGCAAGAGGGATAGCTACTCCTGCTTTTTTTGGGTTTCTGTTGCATGGAGTATTGTTTTTAACAATATTAACAATACTCCTTTAACTTTCAGTCTATGAGTTTCTTTTTGAATTGTGTTTCTTGTGTGCAGCTTACTGTTGGATCTTGCTTCTTGACCCATTCTGCCAGTCTGTTTCTTTTGATTGGTGAATTGAGACCATTAACATTGATAGTTATAACTGATATGTATTGACTTTACTTGTCATGACTTTTTCTTTTTGTTGGATTCTCCCCCTTTGCATTTAATTTCTTGTCAAGCCTGATGGATTCATTCTGCTGGGCTTCCTGGGGTTGTGGTCCTCATTGTTTTTTCCTAGGATATTGTTTAAAATTTATGGAGTGTTGGTTTAGTATTCATGAAGTTCCTAGGGTGCTCTTTGTCATGAAAGTATCTTATTTCTCCATCAGTTTTGAAAAATAATTCTGCAGGGTACATCAATCTGGGTTGGAACTTGTTTTTCTTTAGGGCTTGAAATATATCACTCCATGCTCTTCTTGCCTTGTGGGTTTGTGTTGAGAAGTCTGCTGTGATTCTGATGGGTTTTCTTTTGTAAATGATTTGTTTATTTTCTCTAACTGCTTGTAGAATTTTTTTCTTCTGTTGGGTTTCTGGAATCTTAACTATTATATGCCTATGTGTAGATTGTTTTTGATCACAGCTAGTTGGAGTCCTATAAGCCTCACTCATTTGTATGTCAGGTTCTTTTGCCCTATTTGGGAAGTTTTCTGCTATTACTTTAGTGAACAGTTTTTTTTTTTTTAATGTTGTCTGCACTGTCTCCTGTTTCTTCATTGACTCCAATCAGTCTCATGTTATTTTTCTTTTGTTGCAGAAGGAATTGGTAAGTGACACACACAGAGGGGTGCAGAATGGAAGTAAAATAAGAAAAAGTTTATTTTGTCAACAAAGGCCAATTGCACTTAAAAGCAGTGCCAGAGATCAACCTCCTGTTGGGTTGCAGCTTCTTCATTTATAGGTTTTAGAGCTATGATCTCATTCAGTTGGTTACATTTCATTTCCTCAGTTCACATTACCCATATACAAATGACAGTAACCAGACAGTTAACTTTAACCTAGATGTAACAATTCCTTGTAGCTAGGGAGTTTTCCTTAAGTTTTTCTAGCTATCTATTCTAGTGCACAGGAAGGGGGTGTTCAAGGTCAGGGATGAGGCCAAATGTCCCATTTCATGGTCAGTGCCTCCTGTGTCTGTTAATTTTGAGCTAAATAAAGCAGATTGCTATTAGAGACAGCAGAAGTCATTTTACATTTTCCTAACATGTAGGTTTTTAGACTATTTACAAAAGTTCTCCATCTCACTTTGAATCATCTAGCAGTTGCTGGATTGATCTCTCATGGTCCCTTACTATTTTTAAGAGATTTTTCTTTTCCTGGTCACTAATTGCAATCCTATCTTCTATATCTGAAATTCTGTGCTAACATTGGTTTATTTTGCTGTGTAAACTTTCAATGTAGTTTTTAATGTCTTGGAAATTTGTTTTCATCTGTTTTATGGATTCCATTTGTTTCCTATGTTGAGATTCTATCATGTTTCTCAGCTCTTCTTTTTTTTTTATTTCTGCCTGCTCTAGATTTATTAATCATGTCTTGTACTATGGGCACAATCTCTACTGTTATCTGAGAAATTATTTCTGATTTCATTTTTTCCAGGTTTTCTTTCATTGCCAGTTCAGGGAGTCCAGGTGGTTGAGTATCAAATTGTTCTATCTCGTTTCCCTTTGGAGTTGCCTTAGGTGATCTGGAAGTCTGGTTTTGAGACTTATTTCCATGTCTTCTCATTTCAACAGATCCAACCTCTGCTGTGCCTTTGTTGAGGAAACTTTTTGCTCATCCATTGGTCTTCAGTTCTCAGCAGGCCACTGAGCAGCCTTTACTCTGCTGCTCCCCAGTACACCAATTCCTGGGTTTAGATAGTGGCCTTCTATATCCCTGAGCTGATCTGTTGTCTGCGTGGGATTCTGGCTGGGGCCTGTGCACACTTGGGATGGTATCTAGGTGTGCCTCTCACTGGGCCCATATGTAGCTGTTGTTGGGGGGGGGTTGTATGCCAGTTCCTGTTATCTGTGTAGGCTTCTGGCTAGGGTCTTCAGGCGCTCATCAGTGGTATTGGGGCGATTCTCTGGCTGTTGCTTGTGCATCTGTGTAGTTCTTTTCCATGTGGGCGCTTGGTTGTGGCCGATGTTATGGAGGGACTCTGGATGAAGCTTGCACACCTGTGCAGCTCTTTTCTAGGTGGTCTGTGGCTTGGGCACATGTGCCTTTACCTCTGGGGTCAGGGCAGGGCAGAGTGGGTCCCTAGCCGGGACCTGTCTGCAACTGGGCCAGTCTGGTCCACACAACTGCTCCTGGTGTGTGTACACACTTAGCGATGGTATCCCAAGTATGATTTTAACACTGTTAAAACTCAGTACTATGTTTTCTCTGGGCTGCCCCTGAGTAGTTTTTGCTGTGATTGTGATGTAATAGAGATAAGCTTCTCAATGTAATATAACTCAATGTTCAGGTTTTCTTGTCCCGATTGATGTGAGGTGAACCTCACTTTTATTCTGTTGTGTGCTTGAATTGCAGTGGATAAACTCACGCACAGTTGTGCTCTTAGACAGTGTGGAGAAGCTGCATGTGATTGACTGGCAGACACAAGAGGAATTAGAAACTGTGGAGATCTCAGAAGTTCAGTTGGTTTATAATAGCAGCCATTTCAAGTCACTCGCCACTGGAGGAAATGTTAGCCAGGCACTGGTAAGGGTAATCCATGATCTTGGTCTTGCCTTGATGAATTTGCTGTGATGTTGTTTTTTCTTTTTCAAACAGGAAATTTGGGAACTTATTTTCCTGTCTTGAGGTATTTCTTTAAAAACCAAGTTGAAGGGCCTGGAATTTAGATCAGTGGTTCTGCCACCTGCCTTGCAAGTGCAAGGTCTTGAGTTCATTCCCCGCTACCAAAAAAAGAAAAGATGGATCATTGGGGCCGAGGATTTAGCTCAGCGGTTCAGTGGCCTGCCTTGCAAGTGCAAGGACCTGAGTTCAATCCCTGGTACCAAAAAAAAAAAAAGAAAAAAAAACCAAGTTGAAGTGGATGTGGGTGCATTTGAAGTCCAAACACTGGCTGGATATTTGACTTTGAATTATTTTAATTTTCAGAGTTTGTTAATGGAATTGTAGTTATGTTTTAAAAGACTCATTAAAAATATATACTGAATTTTAAGTGAAATTTGAGAACCTGGAATCTGTAGGGAAGTAGTAGAAATATAGGGGTGAGACAGTATTGGTGATGAGTTGATCATCATTGAAACTGGTTGGTAGATATATTCAGGAATTAATTATTCTTTCTACTTTTTGTATACATTTTTAAGTTCCCCTAATAAAATGTTACAAAATGTCATCATAGCTTTCAGTTATTGACCACATATTTTTGACAGATATATGTTTTAAGCTATTTAAGCATTACAAAAAGTGTCCAGGGTTTTCCAATGATGGAAAAATGGTCAGAAGTTTGAAATTGGTTTACTATCACAGAAAGGAAGTGGCAGAGCCAAAGTCTGTGACCCAGTTTTGTCAGTGATCATCTATTCTGTGTTGCTGGGCTCTGCTGACTTCCATATACAATCTTCTTTATCTTTCTGTTTGCTCTTCGGTTTTATGTTGATATTTATTTCAGAGAACTTGGAGATACTATTTTTCAATTGGCCCCATTCTTTTCCAGAAGTGGTGACTGTCACTTAATAAAGTGCAGGTTGCCAAAGTTTTCCTTCAGATTTACAAGTTGGCGTGTTTCTTCCCTTTTCCACATTATTCGGAAAAGTAGAAAGGCTCTTTATGTAAGCAGAGTTACTTCTTGAACTTTGTCTTTTCTGTGGCATTTCCACTGTCAGATTGGTGGTCGACTGACATTTTTTCTCTACCACCTTGTGGAATGAAACCATGTTGACCTAAAATGTTATCTCTATAATCAACATCCTTTAAAACTTAATGAGACTTCTAATGCATGTACTTTTTACCTTGTTAATTTTTTCAGGCTTTGGTTGGAGAGAAGGCTTGTTACCAATCCATCAGTAGCTGTGGCGGTCAGATCTTTTATCTGGGGACGAAAGTAAGCTCTTTCACCCTGTCACTTGGTGTTTGTGTGTATCAGGGACTGAAGGCAAGTTGCTGGTGAAGAGGAGGAGTATATTGTAAAAGGCACACTGATCAGCAGTGGTCCAAAACTTAGTATTAGGTAGCCATGATTTTTAGTTAATTGACTTCTTTCCTCCACTTTTAGTTGATGGGATGTTTAGCACTGAGCTACATCCTCAAACATACTGGACTATAAAATCCTTTTTATTTTGAGGTGAGGTCTTTCTAAATTGCCCAGGTTGGGCTTAAACTTGGGATCCTCCTTCCTCAGCCTTCCAGAGTGCTGAGATTATAGGTGTGTATCACCATATCCAGCTGCTTTATTTTTCTTGATTCAGGGATATACTTTCATAACCTTCTTTAAAATATGTTTTAATGATGAGGTGGAAACCTAAGCATGTGTATTTATAATACAGTTAATATGGCATTTTGCTTAGGTAGTTTAGGATCATTAAAATGCTTTGAAGCATTCAACTTAGAATAGAAATCATAGAATAGGAACTTTCTGTATATCAATTTGTTCCTGTGCTTTTATTTATTTATTTTCAACTTAAATAGAAAAACACTTTGCATTATTAAAAATTTCAACCCTGTACACATAAAGCCCTGTGTTGATCCTCAGCACTGCTAAAAAGAAAAGAAAAGAAAAATATTATCAAATCAATTGAAAAAAGAAAATCAACCAAAATATTGTCAAGTCAGCTGAAAGGGAGATGAGCGTGGGCTTTTCTTTTCCCTTGTCTATTGTAATAACTCCTTTGACTGTAGTCTTACTAACCTTTCAGTGTTTGCTTGATTTACTTCTCAATGTGAATACTTGGAGACCCTTTAGTAAATTCTAGTGTGAGAAAAAAAGTCTTAAATGAGATGTGGGACAACTATGTCTCTGAACAAATCTGTTGAAAATGAGCATTTTAATTCCTTCTCTTTATTTTTCAGTCTGTTTATGTGATGATGCTGAGAAGCTGGAGAGAGGTGAGTTCCAAGTAGTTTTATATGTTAGAGCTATTAAGTTGATAGCATTGTAACATTTGTTTTTTTAAAATTTTTATATTTATTAGTACATTTGCAGTGCATAATGATTGTATTAATTGTGAGGAAGAGTTGGTACATGTACACAGAATGTCTCGGTTTTTTTTTTACATCCCCTTCCTCTCCCATGTCTCCCCATCCCTTTACTTCTTGGCCGCATTCCCATTTGCAAAAGATATAGTTTCCTTTTTCATGCAATGTGAAATGAAGTAAATTGGAAAAATAAGCTTATATTTCATAGGCTTTCTGTCATGTGAGAAAACTAATTTAAAGAGCAAAATAAAACATTTTTGTTTTGACTGCAGATTATTTGAATCCACTCTTTAAGAAATATGCATAAAAACTATTACGTGTTGGATACTTAGATTCCTAAAAACAATTGTATGAGTTAATGTTAGATTTGGCTGTATATATAAGAAAATTCATTACAGGGGCTTAAAGAAGATTTTTTTCTCATCTAAAAGTAATCTAGAGATAGGTAGTTGAGGACTAGTTTGGGAGCTCCATGGTCATCATCTTTGTTTTTGAATTTTAGTGTCAGTCATTTTATAGTCCCGTATGTTGCTAGAGCTCTAACTACTAACTTACAGTCCAGAAAGGGAGAAAGAGAAAATGACATCACAGGTGACATCACAGAAATAGTAACAGAAGACATTTCCACTTGTCATTGACTGTAGTTTTATTACATTACCCCAGGACAAGGGGAGTCTTAGAAATTTCCTTTAGCTAGTGTATTGCTGTCTTGAATAAACTTGTGATTTGCTACTAAGGAGGTGGGACTGTTCCTGGGATTAAACAACTACCCATTTCTGCTATAATGATGTTGGTTCTGTTTCCCCTTTTCATATTTAGGCACTCTGTCTCTCCAAGGTTGCCTACATAATTAATATTTTTCATAGAAATATGATAGAAACTGGCAGAAAAAGTTTGGTATTAAAATAATTTTTCAAAGTTACTGAAATAATTGTAGCTCCTAAGCAGTGCATTATAGAAAGAGAGTAGACAGAGTAGGAATTCTGATTGATGATTGATTAGACAAAGGGATCTAATTCCTTTCATGTATTCATTTTAGAGAGTGGATCATCTCTTGAAACAAGATTGCCTCACAGAAGCCTTGGCCCTTGCATGGTCTTTCCATGAAGGAAAAGCAAAAGCAGTAGTGGGTAAGTAAAACAGTTCTTTCATAAAGAAAACTTACAATGAAAACAGAAGTATATTCATATGCTACCTGCTCTGAGAGATATGAGGTATTCCTTTTTCCCAACATTTTGATTCTAAGGGTAGTTCTAATTATATCTGTTAGCACAAGTTGTAAAGAGAGCAGCACAACATAGGTTCTCTCCTGAAGAAGTGCAATAACTTCTGTTTCATGTTGGGCTTTGTTTCTCTGCAGGATTATCAGGGGATGTCAGTAAGCGAAAGGCTGTTGTTGCAGATCGGGTGAGTATTTTAATGGGGTCTTCACTAGGGTGCAGTACAGATTGCTTTTGTATTTGCTAATCTCTTTAGACATGATTGAATGAATAGCTACAGTTATGGAGACAGTATATAAAAATAGGCCAGATTATATTTCTCTCATATCAGCTTCAGTGCCTTTTGAACTTCTTATTAACCATAGCTCATTTTTCATTGTCTTATGAAGATGATAAAATAGCAAAATAGCTAAAAGACAGCAGAAAGGAGGAAGTAATCTTGGGGACCTGGGTTCATGAGTGATTTGGTCATGCATGCTCACTATGGAAAGACTTCAGCAAAGAACTCTGGAAAACTTAACATGAGCCTCTCATTTCCTGAGCAATATAGATATTATTGAGATTTAGAACATGGAAATATTTCTTAGCAAAGATTAACAAATCAGCATTAACTCTGAGGTGAAAAGAAATTAGGCAAGGATTAAAAACAAGTTAGGAAATAAAGCCACTGAAAGTTCTAGTTGTATTTTTAACACAGTAACAAAGCCCAATCTTATGTTATTTAGAAGGGTCACATATATTAAATATTGAAAAACTTTAGAGATATATTTTTATTTCATTGCAAGGCTATTTTTCTTACAGATGGTAGAAATCCTGTTCCATTATGCAGATCGTGCTCTGAAAAAGTGCCCAGAACAGGGAAAAATCCAAGTGATGGAGCAACATTTTCAGGTACACCTTGGATGTGCCAACTTTTTTTTTTAATATTCAAAGCTTTATTTCAGGACTCGATTAAATGTTTGAGTTTTGAAGAAGTGGTTATATAGTCAAATGGGAACAGGTGAGTGAAATGGGAAATGTTGCTTAGTGCTCAGAATATGTGTTTGAGGGGACACATTGAAAATTGACAGTTCACGGTGGCTGACACCTTGCTGATGACTAACACGTCAGTGAGACCAATCAAAGGAGAATACTACTAAGGTTTAAATATAGTTCTCTTAAGAACACCTGTGACTCAAGTATAGACCCATTAAAAAAATGTGATCTATAAATTATGCTAATGAAAGGCCATTAGTTTATCTTGGAATTAAATGTTAACAAAAGCCAAGGAACAGTTTAAATGTATGCATATTTATTAAACAGGTTTTTCTGTTTCTAGTGTTCTTAAATTATAATTGTTGCAAATCTGTTTTTCTGTCTTGATTCCTATAGCTCCTCTCCCCTACCTCCTCTTTTAACAAATATTTGAATGTTTAAACAAGGGTCAGTGAACTTTTTCCAAGAACTAGAATTTTAGGCTTCGCAAGTCACAAATGCTCTATCACATCTTCTTTGTTTCTTTTGTCTTTTTTTGCTGGCAATCCTAGGCACCAGGCAATATGAATAAAATGCACATGGTCAGATTTCAGTCCAGTCAAAATATTTCTTTTTTACATATTAATGGAAATATTTAGAAGACATCTTTGAAGATCTGCAGAGCAGGCACAGGTCTTGCCTATTTATATTTCCATTTGATGCCCAGAAGTTTGGAACACAAAGACAGATAGGGCAATTAAGAGTTGGATGGTTCAGGGGAAGATAGTATTTGGTTCTTTGAAATGTAGTGTTTAATGCCACAATATTGAACTTCTGGTGTAGTAAATTTCAGGGCTGTTTCACTGGAAACATTAAATTTTTCAGTAGAGAAGTAAGCCCAGATAAAATTATAAAAATAAATAACCCAGAAGGAAAATACATGGCTAAAAGAAAGTGTATAAAACTAAGAACCATAGCCTGTATATATAAATGTATACCACTGAAGGGCTGGGGATTTACCTCATTGGTGCCGTTGCCTGCCTCACAAGTGTAAGGTCCTGAGTTTGATCCCTGGTACCAAAAAAAAAAAAAAAAAGTATATCACTGAAATGTAGATAGAAAAAAATTTGATATTTTAACAAGAATATACCTATCACTCATAAAAGAATGACTATTGATTAGAAAATATGTTTTGCCCACTGTGTAGCCTGCATGGTTATAAACCCTTTGTCTTTCATCTATTTTATGTTATAAAATCCATGAGACTGGTAACTATAAAGAAAAGGAGTCCAATGTGCTCACAGTTCTGGAGATTCAAGAGCATGGCATGGACATCTTACCTCTGGTGAGGGCCTTGTGGAAAATGGCATCACAGTGGCAGGGGTATGTGGGAGAATAACAGCACTAGCTTCTCTTGAAGACCTACCATATCATGCCCCAGCACACCATGTCTCTTAAAAGTTCCACATCACTTAGCATCGCCACACTGGAGACCGAGCTGCTGCACATGAACCTTGTGCAAACCAAAGTACCCTTTATGCATATTAACTCAGTTAATTCTTATCATATCTCTACAGAGTAGGTAGTGATATTATTCCCAAATGTAAATGACACAGGGGTGCAGAGAGATTGAATAACTTGGTTCAGGTCACACAGCCAGTAAATGATAGAGGTAGAATTTGAAACCAAGCCATTGAGCTTTTGGAGCCACATCTGGAGTGTTACACTGTGATATAGAGCAACAGTGCTTATTTTGCATTCTTTCATGAGTACCAAGAAGGGTTTGAAGTGAAGTCCATGTGAATACATTAAGGAAAAAAGCTGAAGCCCAGTGTATGTTTCACATCTAGTTTCATGGTGATTGTTCATATCACAAGACCTAGTGGAATCATAACCCCAGGTACTTACTGTTTAATGGTCTGAGTCACCATTAATCATTTGTCAGTGACTTTGGATCAGTTTTCAAGAAGGCATTCTTGATTCAGTGCAGATGCCTAGGCAGAGGAGTCAGTTTATTTCAGTCAGGAGAACAGTTTTCTTCTGAAAAAGGTGATCTTCGGCCTGCTAAAATGAGTGAAATGCGTGCACAGTTAGCCACAAATCTGCTGTTGTAAGTGTTTAATTATAAATATTTAATCATAAAATAACCATAGTATAGTTAGGTAGGTTGACTCTTAAATTTTTTTAAAGATTCAATTTATGAAACTGCTTGCTGATAACCCCATTGTGGTTTGTGAACATTTTCCAGTAGTTCACCTTAAAACAACCATGTTAAACACATATAAGATAAGTTTAGTATATTTATGGAATACTTATGATAGACCGTCTTGATTTCATTAAAATATTTGTCTAATTTTTCCATTTTCCTAGTGACTGAAATAGATTAGTCATAGTAAATAAATTAGTAAATATATTTACAGGTAGATAAATATTTCCACCAAATAATTTTGTTTGATGGTTTAATATTATACCTTAGTACTCTTTTATATCAAAATTTCTTTTTTCTTTTTGGGTATCAGGAATCTAACTCAGGGCTTTGTGCTTGCCAGGCAGGTTCTCTACTACTGAGCTACATCTCCAGCCCTCATATCCAAATTTTTATCATTGATTTAGATGAAGAATTAGTCACTCATCTTTTAGATAGCACCAAGAATCCAGGTTCAAATTGACCTTGAAAGAAGAAAATGCAGTCAAGATTATTACAGGGTAAACATCATGACTCACGTTAGATTCAAATAATTATATCATGTGGCTATTGGATTAGAAAGATCTTCCTGGGTAGAATTTTAGCTGACCACAAATTCAGTCAGAGCCAAAAGTGTGTTAAGGCTCAAAGAAAGAACAGTAGTATTACCAGTGGGCTACTTTTTGGAAATGCAACCTCTAAGGTATTTCATGAATTGTTGACAGACTAAGCCACACCCTACAAATAGAAGCCAAATTGTGGAAGGATTTAAAATAGTTGTAACACTGGGTTGTTTCAACTGAGGTGAAAGTAGTATGACTGCCTGTAGTTGCTGAAGGGCTGCTGTATGGAATTCACCCTATTTCTGTAGAATGAACGTTAGGAAAAATGGGTAGGAATTAGGAGAAAGTACCTTTCACTTTAAAATGACCTGATGATATAACAGCTCTTGGACTTAGGCACCTCCTATTATTGAATGTGTTCAAATAAAGGGAGGATAGCTGCTGACCAGGAGTGTTGTGCAAAGACTTTTTTTGTTGAGTAAGACAATCTGAAAGTCTGTGTCAATATTAGGAAACTATTATTGGAAGCACAGGTAGCCTCTAATTTGGTTAGTCAAAATTCCTATTAAGACTGATTTCCATCAGAATACTGAGAGTTTGTATTTTGCCAGCAGGTGGCACTCATGCCTGCTGCCTCACTTTTAATCTTTAGGTGAGCTTCACTTTCCTTAGAGGCAAAATAATGTAATGCTATTCAGCACATCTGACTTCCTCCAAAGATTGATCCATATTTTGTCCTGTTTAACTGTAGAAAATCTTGTACTGTATTTGGCTTCTATTTGAGAAAATATTTCAATTTATTATAACTAATAGATTGAGGAATTAAAGTGTTCTGTCTCATACATCTCGAGACTTACTGATTTTTCTGCTTTTGTATCATTGAATTTGCATATGTCCACGTATTCTCCACCTTAAACACAGTCAAGCTCAGCAAACAAATCCTGTCTTCGCCTAACTCTATCCCTAATGTCCTGTGCCTCTTGCTTTTACATTCTTTGTAGAGCCAAACATCTGCAGAATTGTCTCCATTTTTGTCTTGTCTATAAATTTTGTAGACCCTTTTGTTCCTTATATTTTTGGTCCTCAATAGCCATCAATATATTAATGTCTTTTTTCAGTGCTAGAAATTGAATCTAGGGCCTTCACACTACATTACATCCCCAGCTCTTTTTTTGTTTTGGTTAGAATTATAGGCATGTGTCAACGCAGCAATTCAACAGTGACTTCTTGAAACAGTCTGTCCATTTGGCTTGGCTGCTATAATACTTTCCAGTATTTTCCCTATGCTGGTTCCTTATTTGCTTGTTTGCGTTCTCTTTCTAACCAATAAATGTTCAAATTCTTGAGAACTTGTTTGGAGGTTCTAGCAGGGGAGTACAGCTACTTGTATACTCTTGACCAAGGAAACAATCCTCCTGTATCGGGGGTGGTTGTACTCTTTGACTGAGTGCCCCAGTGCGCAGCTTCGGGAGGAATGCACATGGAGCTGTGAGGGAGGAAGGGGACACCCACCTAACCAGCCAGATCAGCTGAATCAACCCTGGCGATTAATGGGGTGACAGATGTCACAGCCAGATTGCCCTCACATCCAAAGTTCAAATTCTTTACAATGTTCTTATCTTCTATTTTTGTGTCATTATGCCTCAAGATTCTGGAGTACTATTTGCTTCAGAATCATTTGAGGATATTATAAAAAATGCTTTTTCTTGAGTTATTTCTCATATCTGTTGAATCAGACTCTGAGATTGGTGGTTAAGATTTGTAATCAGCCCCCAAAATGACTCCTGAATACATTAAAATTTAAGAATCATTATTTTACATTCTATCCCTCAGTGGTTATAGGCTGACGACTAACCAGTATCGCAGTTATTTTTCTTGAGTTTTAGAGATCTGTTTAGTTAGTTGCCCATTTACATCTCTGTTTGGATGTTTTATAGCTACTGAGAACTCATGAACTTTTCCTTCACAAAGCCTTTCCTGATCATTTTTCTTTTAGTGAATGGATCCATCATTACCTACAGCAAGTTGAGTGACCCCTGTCTTTCACTTGTTACAGTTTGTTCATGTCTGCCTTGTGACTATTCCTCACATATGTTTACATCATGCCTTGAATTTTGCCACTGCCCTCGTCCATGTGAGCATTATCTCTCTTGGTACATTATAGTTGCCCCCTAATTGATCTTCCTGTA